GTTCAGACTTCCCCAGGTAGTGAAGTACACTAATTAGGCGACTATCTTATCTCCAGGTTGACTTTTGTTGTGGGAATGTCTTGCAGTGCAGTCTCTTTTCAGTTAATTGGGGTTGGAGCCCAGCAGTCTCAGCTATGGCCTTAGACGAGGGACCTAGGCCTTGGATAGGCTCACAATAAACACGGAAAGCCAACTGGCTAACATTAAATACTGCTCAGAGCCTCCTCATCGTGGTCTCCTTCAGGGCCTGAAGTGGGGCAGGTGGGTACCATGAGGTCACACTAGAGTGACAGAGGCAGCCTTACAGCTGGGAGGACCCAAAACAAACTTCCCCACCACTGAGGAGTAAGGGAAAGTGGGAGGCAGCTGCTGGCTCAGCTGTATCCCTCCACTTGCACAGGGAAACGGGAATCAGGCGCTTGCCTCAGTTCCAGTGCAGCCACTGCTGCTGCAAGTGTATAATTCAGGGGCTTTGGGTACCGTCATTGAGCTGGGCAACTGTCAAGTTTTAGAATCAATTTTAGAACATTTTCATCACCTTAGAAGGAAATCCTTACCCGTTGGTTATCACCTCATATCCAGGAATCATGAACAATTTCTTTCTGTGTTTATTGCTCTTGACATTTTAATGGAATCATATTACACTCATGTTTTCCTGGTTGGCTACTTTACCTGGCATGTTTTCGAGGTCCATCTGTGTTGTCACAGGTATCTGTGCCTGGTTCCTCTCCACTGCCTTTGACTCATTGCGAGGATCAGGATGTGTGGACTGCCGGGCCGTTTCCGCCTCTCACTGCTGTAGGCAGTGCTGCTACACACGCTGGGGCAGCCACCAGGGGACAATTCTGTGTACTTTGGGAGGAACAACTGAGTCACTGATGTTTAACTTCTGAAGAGCTGCCAGCTTCCAAAGCAGCTGCAACACTCACCGTTACACTAACATCGTGGAGGGCTCTGATTTCTCCACCCATCAGCTTTTGTTATAGTACGGTTGCTTAACATGGACTTCCCAGTGGACACAAAGTGGCAACCCACCGACTTGATGCCATTTCCCAGGTGGCTGACAGGACCACCATCTCACCTTGCTCTGGGGTCTCTTCTGCTCATAAAGGCATCCCCTCTGTGTTTCCCAGAACTGACCAGTCATGGAATAGTTCACAAGGCTCGGGGCTGTGCTCGACGGAACCTTGGCATGGAGACGGTTTACAATCTTGTGCACACGTGACAAAGTGCATCAAACTGTGTACTTTGAATAAATGCAGCTACTTTGTATGACTGGATCCTACCGAAGCTGCAAAAACAACCGCCCCCCACACCCACTCACCAGCTGCAGGCCTGTATCTGGGCAAGGAAACCCTCTTTCCAAGAGGCGTCTCCAAGGCAGCCACTGGGCTCATGACCATAACTGCTGTCCCTCTGCCTACACGTCTTGATAACAGGCTTCTGATTTAGTTGTCTAGCTTAGATTTTTTGTCTAGACATAGACCCACCTCACTCTTCTCCAAGTGACTCAGCTGTGACACACTGGGGGGCCCCCATGGGCCACCTGCATTGACATCTGTGTATCTCATGGAGTACAGGTAGGATGCAGGTCACAAGGAAGCAGGGTGCTATCTGGGATACAGGGTCCGCACCATTCCTACCTGCTAAGCTAGACAGCAAGAGCAAGGCACAGCTGAGGACAGCTGTGTCAGGGGCAGCAGGTGTCCCCTACGCCCTCACTGGCACCTGGCCTGCCGTGGGCTCCCTGTGTGTGGCCGTGCTGGCTCTTCGTCTCACCCAAGGCGTTGGTGGACTCAGTCCCCAGGGCTGGGGCAGGGCCCTGCGCTGCATGTGGGAACCCCGTGGGCTGAGTGCAGCACAGAGGGTCTGGTTCTCTCTTTAGTCTCATCTGTGGTGTTGCAGAATGTGCTGTGGTGTGGCCTAGGGACAGACCTAGCATCCACCCTGAGACCTGACCCTGACCACCAGAGGCCAGCAGACCTGTACCGTCAGCCCACAGGGGCGGGCCAGTTCCTCTGGCCTTCCTGCCCCAAGAGTGGGAGAAAATGGTTCTTAACATCCTCAGAAGTGGGCTCTCCGGCCTGTAGAGCTCCTTCCTCTGAGCACTAACAGGCAGTGATGGGCCTCCCAGAGCTTTTTATACTCGAAACAGAGTATATAAGCTTGCAAACCCATAGGGTCACTGCAGGCTGCTTGCACTCAGTGAGTCTGTGTGGCTTTGACATCACGTAGTCCCAGTGGCAGGAACTTTAAAGATGCCTGAAATAGAAGCAGAAAGAAAGCAAGGGACTGATAAAAGCACAGAGAACAAGGGAACAGGACTTGGCCATTAGCACCCCAAAGCTCAATGCAGGATGTTCAGAAAAAGCCACAAGTCACAAAGCGGATTTGGTAAATGGTCGGTGGCAGACTCAGCCTCACGTCTCCTCCTTGCCATATCAGCAGTTCTGGGTAGGGGGTGGGTGTAGGTAGCAGTGTCCACTGCATGGGATGTGACGCCCCACAGCACACGTGGCCAGCCCAGCAGCAAGAGCAACAGGGGTCTCACTCAGTGAGAGCTGGAGAGGGCTTCACATCACGGAGCACAGGCAGTTTTCCACAATGGATTGCACCCCATCAACCCTGCTTAATGAACTGCGCTGCTGCTCTTTCCCACCACGCTGGCTGCCTCTGCACCGTCTCTTCAGCTGCCGGGGCCAGCTTCCTTCTGTGGGAGGCACACAGCCAGGGAGCCAGGCCATCCCGGGGCTGGCGCCTGGCATCCCCTCCTTCCATGTGGTCCACACACCATGACTGCGCGGTCTGGGGACATCTCAAAATGGTTAGAGAAATGGTTCTCTACAAAGGGGGATCTGGTATTCATGACACAAAATGAGGTTTGAATATTTATGGTAAGCATGCTGTGTCTTGCTAAGACCTACAAATATCTTTAACCACAATTCTCTTGTTCCAGCTTTAAAATATTAGCTGTCACTTCTTTCACAGGCATGGTGAGAAAGGCTTTCTCAACTCTTTTCCCTTAAACGCCATTGCCACCTCATTTGCAACCTTCTGTAGCCACCTAATCTTGCCAATTGTGAGGGTGACGTGGCCACAAAGCAGTGTGACTGACGTACCTGACAGCTCTGCTGTGACAGGGCAGCCACCAGGCAGGCGGCTTTTGTGAGATGCGTCCCCTTCCCAGCATAGGCAAGGAGCACTATGCCGGACGCCAGGCCACATGCTGCTGGAAGCCTGGCTCTCCACAGTAGGGAGCACCACACGCAAGCTGTGCGGATGCTGCACCAGCAGCAGGTGCAGCCCTGTATACCTGAGCCCTGTGACCCCACCCAGAGCTGCCGAGCTTGGGTGCAGCTCTGCTTCGTCCACCATCAGACATACTGGGGTGGCCCAGGCGTGGCCCCAGCCCTGGTGCTCAGCTGGTCACGTCTCTGACCTCTGCTCTTTTCCTCCACTCAGGCACTTGTGACAGAGATACCTCGGAGGACAGCAACAAGGACCCTCTGTCCCAAAGACACCTGGCCATGTGGGCACACCTCTCAGCACTTTCAGACACCCAGCCCCATGGTTCCCATCGCAAGAGGACGCGCAGCCAGGTGTGGCAGTGCACACCTTTAGTCCCAGCTTTGGGAGGCTGAGGTAGGATATTGCGAGCCCAGCCAGGGCAACTTAGTGACCCCAGTGCCTAAAGGCCACCACACCGGCACTCAGCACACAGAGCCATGGCCCCAGGGAGACCGGCAGCACTTGCAGCCCAGTGGAGCCACCATGAGACCCCTGGGGAGCAAACTTACAAGAAACTGGACTCCCCCAGGGTTCCCCAAAGCCTCCAAGAAAGGACAGCAATATCAGGCAGCACCTGCCTGCCCAACGGCAGGGGCCCCTCAGTGATGGGCACCTTGGTCAGTGACACGCCCTTGGGCTTCCCGTCAGCAGGAAATAATGTGTCTTTCAAATTTCTGGGAACACCTGCATGTGTCTTCCTTCTGAAAACATTACTGAGCTGGCCACTGGGGCTGTGCCTGTCATCCTAGCTCCTCAGAAGGCTGAGGTAGGAGGGTCATGAGCACCAGCCTAGCTGGGGCAGCACACTCAGAGAGACCCCATCTCCAAGTTCATTGAAAGGAGGAGGGAAGGAGCTAGGTGGCAGAGCCGAGAACGTGAGGTCTGGCGTCAGCGCCCTGTACTGTAAAAACAAAACCTAGACAGACTGACAGAGCAGAACATTCCCTGAAGTTACACCCAGGTCAGGAACCAGGAGTGCTCAGGGAGCACAGCCTCCCTCGGGTTGCCTGGAGCGGCTGTGAGGCCTATTCCTTGAGGGGTGCTAGTACAGCCCCTTGGTGCCAGGGAGACTCACTCACTCACTCTAAAGCTCTGGAGGGGCTGGTGAGATGGCTCAGTGGTCTAAAGCACCTACTTACAACAGGACCGCGGTTCAATCCCCCAGCACCACATGCCAGCCAGCCCCGCCCCCTGGTGGGCTGAGCTGGCCACACACACACACACACACAAAATCACACACAAAATAAATAAATAAAATTTTAAAAAAATAAAATAAAATAAAGCTCTGGAGCCCACAGGGGTCACTACCCTATGCTGGGCGCACCTTGTTCCAGGCGACAATGCCCGCTGGGAGTAGAAGCAAGGAGTGCTGGCCCACAGCACAGACTACGACCTACTTGACCAGCTCTTGGCCCAAGACCAAGGAAGTGGGGGGTCGGGGTGTGTGTGTGGTCTTCCTGTCCCCTGAGTCATGCTGCCAGCCTCTGTCACCTGAGTGGCGACCCTGCCCTGGAGGAGAGCACCTTTGACAGCGACCAACTTCCCCTCTGGCCGAGAAGTGTAGTCAGAAAGGACAGAGGGAACCTCAGGGTAGAAAGCTGATGGGGTTGGGTGACTGAGACTCACGAGTCAGGTGAGTGAGAGGTCCACCCCACATGACGGTATCCGTGAAGACATGGGCGGTGGAGATCACATTTATTTCTAGACACACATTAAAATAAATGTCATATTTAATCAGAATATAATAATGCAAAAATAGAACTCTCCTCCACTGTGAAAAGTAATACAATACTATGGGGGGTATACATGATAAGATATCTCAGGTCTTCAGGATTAGCTTCTGAAAACAAAACTTTACAGTTATACAGTCGAATTATGATACAAGGTATACAAAATCGCATAATTACAGTGTAGAAAAATGACATTTACAAAATATAACTTAGATCAGTCACACAAAATGTACTGTTAATTTCTCTCCAGGGCCTCCCCGCTCAGGTGAACAGCAGTGCTCCGGCCTTCATCGGTCTGGATCAGCAGCATGGCCTGGAAGCTGCCCACAGCCTCGGGGCGGAAGTGCACGGGGACGTGGATGTAATGCCGTGCCCTGTGGGGAGCAGCGGAAGGGAGCACAGAGGACAGAGCACCTGGCACCTGCCAGGGAGGGCCCACAGGGCCCAGCCCAGAAGACAGGGCCACCGCGTGCCGGCGCTGCTGGTGCGTGGCACAGTGCCTGCTGGCACACAGGGGCCCAAGCGTGGCCCAGTGCCGCCCAACAATAAGACAAGGCTGGGCGGGGCGTACAGGTGTCTGGCACCTTCACTCCTGCCAACGCACAGACTGCATCCCGCTCTGCGCTCTCTGCTGCCTGCAGGCGGCTGGGAGCACTCAGCCCTCCCCCTGCAGACTACCGTGTGCCCAGGAACTCACCTCAAAGAGTATCTGGAGTGCCTGATGAAGAATGGCTCTCTGGGTGGCAAAAACTTCAGCTGAAATTTAGCAAGAAACACTCTGACGTTACACAGTGTGAGGTCACTACATGGAACCCATGTCCGCACGGCTGGGATTAAAGGCTCACTTTGCAAACTTGGGTACAGCCACAAAATTAGGTAGGACCACAAATGCTCAGGTAACGAAATCACATTCGGCGGAGTTTTAACCCAAGTTCATTCCAGTTCTGACTACAGTAAATGTTACCCAGAAACAATGCTTGTACCAGAGACAGAGCAGAATAGAAGAAAATTAAAAAATGAAAACAAGACTTTAGACTTTAAAATAAAATGAACTCCTAATACACTTTAAATATATTATCAGGGCATTTGAAAAAGCTAACTTGATAGTACAACTTAAATACAGTCTCATTAGCAGACACACGCAGGCGAAAGCACCGCCTTCTCACCGAGTGTGTGACGAAGGAGTTGTTCCGCACGCTGACCTTCAGCACCCGCGACTCCCCGACCCGGGTAGGCAGGAAGGTGTAAGTGTCCTTCGGGGCATACACACCACGCGGGCTCTCATCAGGAGGTCTGCTTGGGAGAGCAGGAGAGGCCGGTGAGAGCCACAGAAAGGGACTGCTGGTGGGGCCATGTCATCTGCACTGTGACCACGGGGGACAGAACACCACGTGGGAGATGCTCGGTGTCCTCTCTGGCCCATGTGCCAGGCCCCCCCCCGCAGCACGGCCACTGGTGCACGCCGTCTCTGGAGTCTCCATGAGGCCTGTGCCCTGAGTCAGTCCTGGCTGCTGCAGGCAGCTCCAGCCTCTCAGGCTCATCTTTATCCCCTTCCCAAGGCTTGGCTGGACCGTCCACCCATGAAACTCATATGCAGTGTGTCTGCGGCCCTTGGGGGGCAGTGTTCAGAGCACCTTAGTTTCTACCACCCTAAAATTCTAAGACATTTAAATGTCAAGAGAAAAATGTTCAGGTAATGAAATACTAAATAAAAACAAATGGTCCGTACTCCAGAAAATAAACAAGCCCTGGAAAATGCTACGACAGAAGGCAAACAGCGCGCGAGCACACAGGAGGCACAATCAGCGCAGAGCACACCCGGACGGGCCCAACGTGCGTGTTGGGGTCGCAGGAGCACCCTGTCCTGGCCAGTGACACCACGCACCTGGGTGGGAGGGCAGAGGGCTCCGAGGTGGCACGTCTGCGAGGCGTGCTGGCAGTGTCCACCTTCACCAGGCCATCCGTGCAGGCGTAGGCAGCCTCGGGCTGGTCCCCTGCCCTGACGCTCTGTGGAGATCGAGGGAGGTGAGGTTTAAGCATTCTAGGCCACGCAGGTCATTTATCTACTGCAATTCTACTATGTGCTTTTTAAAAAGATGCGTTTTATTTTTTTACTTATTATATTTTTGGTAGAACCGAGATTTGAACTCAGACTCTTGTGCACTGAGCCATCTCCCCAGCCCCAAAGATGACTCTGAAATCCCCTCAATTTCCAGGGCTGCTCACAACCCTCTGGTCTCATACTTGCACACGTGTTCTGCGTACCTACATGGAGCTCAACCGTGCTGAATGATAGGCCAGAAAATGAAGATTAGGGGGCCACAGAATCAGTGAAGCTAAAATGGTGTCGCAATATTCCGCATATTCAGGCACTTTTCTTATCAGAGCCACTTAAGAGTTTTAATACGCATAACAATTTGCTTTAATCCAGCACAACACTCACCTGTCCAGAGAGCTGGAATCTCAACGTGTGCTTCAAGTGAGGTTCCTTAGCAGGGTGGCACTCGACATCCCAAAACTGGGCATAATCCCCTCCATCTCTAGGCAGGAACGTGATGGAGACCTGCAGACACAGCCGGAGTGGCCTTCAGCACAGACCCCAACACGACACCAAGGGCCTGCCTCCCCACCTGGAGGCCGCACGCAGACTGCAAGGAGATGCTTCTGTGCTGGCTAGTTGGCCCACTAGGCGAAAAGTGAGCGTGAACAATTTTTAGGAGACTTAGTGCTACACCAGATCCCAGACATGGAGCTACTGTTTAAGGTTTACAGAGCACATCCTCAGAATGCACAACAAGCATTCTTTGGAGGAAATACACCTGCTGAGTAGCAGAGGTGCCAGGCACAGGGCCCTGTGAAAAGGGTTCAGGCCACAAAAACCCTCTGTCCCAGTCAGGCCAGTGCTAGTGACGCCCACTACAGTGTCCACTGTGATGTTGCACACCATGGGTGCACACCCACCCAAGTGTGCACAAGCTCTATCAGTCACCAGCCTTAGCTTTACCAGTGGGGGATACTGGGCAGAGGGGTGAGTTATGAACGTGAGTGCCAATGGACCTGTGTAAGGGGTTCATTTCTGCCCACGCAGAACCTACAAACAATAACCACAGCAAGCTTAAGAGGCCAGGCCCAGGAAGACCGGAAGAGACCGCCTACACACCAACCCTAAGCTGCTCGCCTACCCTGCTCATCTTCCCTATGGCCTGTCTCCACCCTCGAACGCCCCAGGCGTCTCCAGGTCCTTCCTGGCTGTGGAACCCTGCCTGGGTCCTCCTGTAGCTGCCCCAGAGGACTAGGACTCTCCCCCAAAGGCCACTCCACAGGCATAGCATGTGGGTCTTTGCCTGTCACAAGCTGCAGCCATGAGCACAAATCAGCCTGAGGCGCTGCTGGTCCCAAGGCCCAAGGCCAGGAGGAGCTGCCTGCTCCCACCTCGGCTCAGCCCCAGCCTGAGCACCCATGCCTCAGACGTGCCTATGACCCCAGCCTGAGCACCCATGCCTCACAGACGTGCCTATCTTGCATGTCACACACCCACAGGGCCATAGTGTGTGGTCTTGCACACCTGGCTTCTTCCACACTGCATGACCTTTTCTTTTTTTTTTTTTTTTTTTTTAATGTATTTAGTACAGGGCCTCACTACATAGATCGGACTTGTATTGATTCTCCTATTTTCACCCTCCCAAGTGCTGGGATTACAGGTGTATGCCACAATGCCCCCCAGTCTCAACTGCCATCTCAGAATGCCCCAGGGGTGGGGCTGGCATGGCATGCTGGGGATCAAACCCCAGCCACTGCACTCTGCCTAAGCAGGCGCTTTAGTCCACTGAGCTATTTGGCCAGCCCACTACGAAAAATGCTCCTAGGAGTATCTGTGCCTGAAGTTTTAAAAAATGACTTATTTATTTGGTACAGGGTCTTGATACACAGCTTAAACTCACAGTGATCTTACTGTCTTAGCCTCCCCAAGGCTGGAATTATAGGCTTACACCATACCTAGTTTTGGTGGCTGGCATGGTGTGCCTGAGGTTCCAGGGACTGCACGGTACATGGTACTGGGAACCGAACTCAGGTCTTTGTGCTTGCCAGGCAGGTGTTTAGACCACCAAGCTATCTCCCCAGCCTCTGTGCCTGAGTTTTTGTTGGAATACTTGTTTCAACGTTTTCAAAGTGTACATGTAGACACAGAGTTGCTGGGTCGAGAAGCAGTCCTGCCTGCAGCTTCCAGAGGAGCTGCGTGCTGCCACCCAGTGTCTGACCACGCAGCGGACCACACTACACACTAGACTCCGTGTTTTCTGCCACCCAGTGTCTGACCACGCAGCGGCCACACGACACACTAGACTCCGTGTTCTCTGCCACCCAGTGTCTGACCACGCAACGGCGACACGACACAGTAGACTCCGATTTCTCTGCCACCCAATGTCTGACCACGCAGTGGGCCACACGACACACTAGACTCCGTGTTCTCTGCCACCCAGTGTCTGATCACACAGTGGGCCACATGACACACTAGACTCCATGTCCTCTGCCACCTAGTGTCTGACCATGCAGCGGGCCACATGACACACTAGACTCCATATTCTCTACATCCTCAATGATACTGTGTTCTCTTTAACCACAGCCAGCATAGCAGGTACAAAATGAGACCCCACCTCTGGACTTGATTCCATTTTGCTACGGTTTAGTGCCTCCGAGCACCTTAAGTTCATTGGCCACTTAGTATCTTGTTTGGATAAATGGCTACTTATGTCTTTTGTGGCAGGCATTACTAGGGATGGAACACAGGGTCTTGTGCATGTTAGACAAACACTCTACCACTGAGCCCTCCCCTTTCATTTAAATTCTGAAATAGGCTCTAAGGTGCCCAGGCTACCTGGAACTTGAGATCTTAGCCTCCTAAGCAGCTGAGATTACAGCTCTGCACGATCATCCGAAGTTGCTCATATTAAAGCAAGATTAACCAGATGTAGTGATGCACACCTATAATTTCAGCATTCAAGAAGCTGAGGCAAAAGGACTGTCATGAGTTTGAGGCCAGTCTGGGACAGTGAGTTCACAGCCAGTCTGAATTAGAGCAAGATCTATTTAAAAACAAAAAACAAAACAAAACAAAAAAACCCACCTGGATCATTTGTTTACTGATTGTAAATGTTCATTACAGGGCTGGTCAGATAGCTCAGTGGACTTAAGTGCCTGCTTAAGCAGATGCACAGGCCAGAGGTTCGATCCCTGGCCTGCCCTAAACCAGCCCTGTCCCCAGGGTGCACTGAGATGGGATTGAGACGGCATGGTGGTGTATGCCTGTAATCCCAGAATTTGAGAGACTGAAAAACAGGAAGGATCAATCTTTGTAGTGAGACCCTGTAGATCCTATACTAAATACATAAAGTTCATCACAAAAAAGTTCATTATGTATTCTAGAAGTCATCTGTCAAATATATAACTTGCAAATATTCCTCCTGCTTTATGGGTACTCTTTTTACTTTAATGGTGTGCTTTCTTTTGTAGTTTGTATTTTAATTTTTTTTTTTTTTTAATTTTATGTATTTGGTACAGGGTCTCATTACACAGCTTGGACTCACAGTGATCCTGTTTCAGCCTCTCTAGCACTAGGATTACAGGTGTGCACCACGCCTGGTCTTGGTGGCCTGCTTGGCATGCCCAAGACAGGGCTGGCACAGCATGTGGTACCAGAGATCAAACCTGGGTCCTTGTGCTTGCCAGGCAGGCACTATCTCCAAGGCCCCATGTAGTTTGTGCTTTATTGAACTAGTGTCATATCTAAGAAATTAATGCATAACTTATTGTTCTAGAAATTTTATGCTCCTACACTTAGTCTATTTTGAGTCAATTTTTTATATGGTGCTAGCTAAGAACCCAATCTAGCTAGTTCTTTTACCTCTGGATACTGGGTTGTCCCAGTACCATTTACTGAAAAGCATTTTCTCCACTGAATTATCTCAGCATCCTTATTGAGAATATCAAGGGCTGGGGTGCAGCTCAGTGGTAGAGTGCTTGCCCAGCATGCACAAGGCCTTGAGTTCCATCCTCAGTACAAAAACAAAAACAAACAAACAAAAATCAGAGTATCACACGACAACTGGTCTGAGGGTTTATCGTGGGACTCTCAATTGTCCTTCACACATATACGGAGTTCTGTGTGTCCACTCTACTCAATCCACCCTGGTCTGTTTCCCAACACTGGTGATTGTGCCCCAGGAGTGCTCCATCACTCCCCTACACCTTAACTGTTTTACTTTGATAGGGTCTCTAAGAAGTGGCTCACGTTAGTCTCAGCCTTACAGTCCTCCAGCCTCAACTATGGCCCTGCAGTGGAAGTCTTTCAATTCTGTTGTCCTTCAAGGTTGGGAAAGACAACAGAATTTTGGTTTGGTTTCTTTTGGGTTCCTTACATGGTTCTAAACTTCAAAAGCAAGTAAAAAAAAAAAAAACAAAAAAACCATTTGCTTGGAAGTCCACCTGGGTTGGACTGGAATTACAGGGAACCTGTGCCACCTTGCCAAGGATGTTCTCTTCCCACCCACCCATGTGGGCTGGCTGCAAGGCCTCCCCCATGCCAAGCTTTCCTTGAGCAACGTGCCTGCTCCTGTGCTGCTTGGCTTCTGCTGTGGCTGGGGAAACCAAGGAAGTGACACTTGTACAACTGTGTCTCTCTACAGCAGTGAGGAACTTCGGGGGTTTGGCACAGACCAGGGAAGTAGTTTGTGGTCACTCCCAAGGCTGTTCCAGGACTCTTGGTGATCAGTTAGGAGTTCACAGTTCTACTCTAGGACTCAACAGAAGTCCGAAAGTCTACATAAATGGGCCAGTATCACTGACATGCAATAGTTTCTACGACTGCCTACAGGCAGAGCAGAAAGTGAGTTCATGCATGAGGTCAAGTGGACGCCAAGGGCCAACAGCAGAACGAATGAGGGCTGGAGGTGTGCAGCAGCCGGAGGCTCCGTCACCTGCGCAGTTCTCTGGCACTGCTGCCACAGACACTGGGGTTTTGGGGGCACTGCTAGTTTTTTGGTCATGGTTAGCAGGAAGAATCGTCGGCTAGCCTGGCAAAGCGGGCTGTGGCTCTGGGAGCTATAGCTGTGTGCTGACAAACTCCTCCCAGCAGGAGCTCCCTCCACCACCGCAGAGTGCACAGTGCTGCTCGCACCTACCAGGCCACTCCTCTGTGGGCAGAATGGCTCTGAGACCAGGGCTAGCCCACTGAGGACCCTCGTGATGGTGGCTGGCGCTCACCTTTTGGGTTCTGTGGCTTCCCAGCGTACCAGAAATAGGAGCACACCTGAACGCCGTGTAGGTAGCTCGAAAGACGTCTCCGCTTTCATCGACTCCCTGCAAAGCAGTCACTCACCCAGTCACACAGATATAAGGCTAGTAGCCCCATCCCAGGGGTACTACCCATTCTGGGGTGTCCCACACCCTGCATGGCTGTCACCCTTCCAAACAAGTGCTCCACGTCAGGCTCTTGTCTTGTCCTTGAGCGCTCAAGGCCCGGCCTTTTGACTTCACATCCTGGGAGGCAATGACCAACTTTTTTCTAGTCAGTCCCAGGACTGTGTTCTGTGTACATTCTGTTAGTATTGTGGCTCGGCTCAAGGCTCTTAGTTAATGACCACACAAAACACATGGCAGAGAGGGCCTGGTGTTCTAAATACCATGGTGTTGAGGTGTTAATTTGGGGTACAGGGCTCCCCTCCTCTCTAGTGTCCTCAGAGCACAGAGCCAGCCATGTACACACAGTGCTGAGTAACACAGCCTCTCTTAACCTTCAAAATAGCAATTTCATATAAAAACTAGGAGTAGAAGGCACAATTAGACAGAGCAAGCTTGATTTTCACATAAGCCCTCCCATCTGACTCTCAGAACTAACTGACAAGGAGTGGGCCCCAGACACCCCACAGGGAGGCTCAAGAGAGGTTCAGGTCGAAAGGACAGCTGGCTCCCAAGGGTACCTTGGACACATGCAGTGGCAGGACTGACCTTGACATACGGTGGTGCAAAGGACGACAGGTGCCACCTCACAGCCATGGGTCCATGATTCTCCAGCTCCAGACAACTCTCTGAAAGGAGCATATGGATGGCTCCCTGGGACAGTCCTCTGTGATAGCCCAAGAAGCCCTAGGAGGCCCTACTGAGGCTTTACTCTAATTGAAGTGGGTTCTGCCACAGATATGTCGCACCCAAGAACCTCCCACCCAGGGCCATGTGGATACCACAGGACAGGAGGTGAGCTCGCCTGCACACATGTAAGGGTCCAAGCTGGATGCCAGGATGCAGGAGGTCAAAGGGAAATCCAAGAGCAGCAGGGCAGCAAACTTGGGCATGGAGGGCACACGGTTGGGGGGAAAGGGGACAAAGGATGGGACAGAGAGGAGCAGAAGAGGTGGGGGAGGGGAGAATTAAGGGAGGTGTCCACAGTGGAGAGGTCAGGGTCCCCCTGACCTCACAGCAGGAAGGGGTCAGAAGGCAGAGTGGTCACTGGTGCCGGAGGGCCAGAGGGCAGGCACAGAAGAGTCTAAGGGACCTGGCATGACAGCCAGAAGCACTGGGCTGGGAGTGAGGAGCAAGACTCAGGAGGAGCCCAAAGAAGGAAACCATCGCCGAGAGAGCACTGGCACAGGGCAGGAGCACACGCGACAGAGTGCCTGTGCTGAAAGCCCCAGTCCCGGCCCTAACCTCCACCACACCACTGTGCTGAGTGACAGTCACAATGGCCATGCTATGGGAGGACACGTGAGCAGTCATGAAGCCTCCACCACTCTCCTTTCTGCTCTCCCTCATTTCCTGACTCCCAACATCCTAAATCTGGTCAGGGCAGTGAGTGCCAAACAGTGACTCAGCATCAAAGTTTTAGGTTTGGAGATTTAGCTCCCAAGAGCTGGGCATGGTGGCACATGCCTATGATCCCAGAACTCAGGAGGCTGAGGCAAGAGGACTGACACAAGTGAGGCTAGCCTGGAGTGCATACTGAGTTCAAGGCCAGCCTGGACTACATAGCGAGACCCTGTCTCAAAAACTTGACAAGATTAAGCTACCAAATCCAGCCCTTCTTTAAAATCACTTGCCAGTGATGCCTGGATTTGCTGCTGATGTGGGGGTTCATCATCATCCCCACCGTGGGCTGGGGGTGGACAGTTTCCTTAGCACAGGGGAGGCCCTGGGTGTGTCCTAAACAGATAAACTAAAGACAACCACATGTGCACCTGGGCCCTGCGGCACGCACACTACCTGAAGTCTCTCCGGGGGCTGTAGCAGGAAAGGTCACAGTCTTGGTCCGTATCTGCACTTGTGTGGAAGGGGGCTTCGAGGCCAGCTTTGTCAAATGACTCACAGGAGGCCCAAATGCCGGCACAAGAGTTCCAAGTGTGCGGGAGGCCAAGCGAGATAAAAGTTCCTCCTGAGTCAAATCTTCTCGAATTTGAACTTTCACAATTTTCTGGAAAAAGCCAAGTTAAGGGGATAAGCACAAAAAGGGTGACTACCTCGAAATACTCCCTGTATTTTCAAAGGACACGACAGATGACAAACACTGAATTCGGAAGGGCTTCAGAGTCTGTGCGGGTCTCCAAGACTGTCTGTCTTGGCCTGTCTCCTCCTCTTACGACCTCCACTTTTCACAAGGGGCTACAGCTCAGCCGCAGCTCCTGGGTCCTCGCACCACACCATGCCCCAAGTGCATGGCCAAGCACACTGACCAGGTCCCACGGGCTGGTGAGCAGTCACAGACCTCAGACCTGAGGCTGAGCACAAGAGGAGCAGGTGCAGAAGGCCGCAAATACCTTCTTTCCGTCGTCGCAGTGCACGTAGACTGACCCGCTCCACGGCAACATCAACCTCTTCGTGGATAAGGAGGGATTAGGGCTCACAAGAATTTGTTGTTTGCTCCTTAAGAAAATAATAAAAACCATGACTATCCTACACTTTCCGAGTAGAAGGACAAGAAAGAGTTGCACACACTGTTCCACCACTGACTGCCCACTTGTGCTGCTGGGAAAGGGTAGAGGACCAGGTTGGTGCACACCTGGCCTCCGTCCCCCAAGCCCTGGGCCAACAGAGGTGAAGGCAGGAACCCACAAGCCCCAGGGCAGAGCAAGTCAGGAAAGGAAAACTAGGCATGTGTAAAAACAGTCCAAAGCAATTAAAAAAAAATCTGCCTGAAGCAAGAGCCCGGAGCTGCACTCTTGGTAGAAAGACAGCCAGGACTCAGGAGGTGTAGGGAAGTGCGAATGTGAAGAGAAAAGCTTCTTCAGGACCCAGTCCCGGTCTCGGACTGGTGGGGGGGGGGCGCGCAAGACCAGATTCTTGACCCTTAAGAAATCATCAGTTATAGGTCAGGAGGGACAGGGCACACACCTGTCTCACTCCTGGCCATGGGCGCTGTGGGCAGTGGGCAGTGTCGAAGACCTGAGCTTTCCGCATCCCCAGGCACCACACCACTCAGATGTATCCCAAGTGTCTGTGGGAACAGCGCCCCACAGTGTACGACCTCTATGCCTGGGCAGGGGTCTGGGCTCACCACTGCTCCACTGTCACCTAATAATTATCCATCGGCCACCCACCCACCCTGCAGTGCTCATCTGAGGCACATGTTCTCTCCTTCAGCAGCAACACAGCTCCTAAACAAACTGAAGTGACAGGGAGATTAACAGGATAGCGGAACTCAGGAGACTACTCACTCCGGTGTGACAAGTCCATGCTCCGGGGTGACTGTCAAGCAGTGTGCTGGCCAGTACAGCTCAAATTTCAGTGTCCTGACAGAGTTATTTACAATCTGGAAACGCCCGGTTTTAGCCATGTCGCCTACTGTGTAAGAAGAGCAAATGTTACCTATTCTTGGCGACAGAGAAAAAGACAAACATCAACAGCAAACCCCAAGCCCTTAATAAATCACTATGATGTCCGCTTGATTTGCTCTTTTTCTCAGCTGCTCAATTTTAAGAATTTCAAATTCAGTTAGACAAAGTGCTAGACACTGCAACGACACTGGCAGGTGATCTAAGAACGGAAAGCGGAGGCTGTTGCTGCTTCAGGCGCTAACCTGCACACACAGGTGTGACCTGGTCAACGGAGCCCAAGCGAAGGAGCAGGAGGCTCCGGGAGGCCCCGTCCAAGGTGCACAGGCTGGGCACACAGAGGGCAGCTCTAGCTGTACCAGGCTGGGATACTCACAAGCCAAAGGGGCCAGCAGGCTCACGTGCTCGGGCTGCACGGCCCACATCTCTGCAGAGGCCGGGTCAGCCTGCAGCAGGTGGGCAGCTCGTGGAGGAAAGGGAGAGCCTTGGGGACCTCTGACAGGGAGGACGTCCAGAGAGACGTTGCCACTGTGCCTTCCAGACAGCCCCGAGTCACTGGGAAAAGATAGGATTGAGTCAGCGGAGAGAGAAGCTAAGGATGAAAAGCCACTGCTTCATGCACTTTGCACTGATTCCTCACAAGTCTAAACACATTAAGACACACTGAAAGGCACGTATGTCCTGCAGCGTCAGTGCATGAGGCCTTCCATGCTTTGAGTGTTACAGGCTGGCATGCAGCACTGGCTCACGCTGTTCCTGCACAAGGCTCTGGGCTCCCTGCAGTGCCTTGAAAGGCAAAAAATTGAGAAGACACAGGGAGCACAGCAAAATAAAATTCAACAAGAAAGTACAGTAATCTTTTTTTTTTTTTGGCCTGCCTTCTGCCTCTGGAGTTACTGAAAAAAATTTACAATAAAATAATCCGGTATTACAAGAAAAACAAAATTTTCTGTGTATGGGTCAGGGCACAGTGACAGCAGAGCTCCCATGCTGACTGCACACACTGGAGCAGGGTCTCCTCCACAGAAGGCTGCAGCAGGAGATGCTCACGAAACTTAGCTCAGGAGGCTCTTCTTACACGTTTCCTAAGAAGCCTTGGATTAGAAAAGATTGTAATTCAAGTGAACTCTGCTGCATACCTGTAATCCTGGCACTGTGGGAGGCTGAGGCAGGAAGACCCTGTGGAGAGCACAGCCTGAGCAACGCAGCGATCTAGTGATTCTGCCCACAACTGTACAAAGGCTGGGTGGAGATGAGCTTTGCATGCAAGCCCCGATATTGTTAAGCAACCAAATACGTAAAAATAAAAACGCTCTACCCAGCAAAGCACATAGCACACTGGAGTCTAACAACAGGGACTGCCTTCTCCGACCATGCGACGGACTTCAGCTTGGCTCACTGTAGCCAACACACGCGGAGAGCGCTTCCTACCTCTCCCACCTGTCCATGCCCTGGGCCCTGCCTAAAGGGCAGAGTCCCGGGTTGCCCAAGAATCACAGAGGCGCCAGGCCACATCACAAATGCCAGCCAAAGTTGCTTCTTGCTTCCCAAGACCAACCCCCCACTCCCTGCAGGTGACTGTCCACACACTGCACACGCTCTTCTGTCTGCGCCCCTTTGGCCAGTTAGCAGCTTGCTTGGGGTGGGGGTGGGGGGCACTGGGCTTAGGGCGCTGCATGGACGTCATGACGGCAGCAACTAGGTCAAGATGTAGACACAGAGAACAACGGGCTGCGATTTCAACTAAGCTAATAAATGAAGGCAAAACAAACATTTGAGAGAAAATAAGGTACAGGGGAGAAACAGACCAGCTCCACTATGATTTCTGTAATCTAGAGATCTGGTAAAAGATGGCTGCTTGCATATTTACTTTACCTTTTAGATCCCAAGCTAGCCTGGGAAGAAGGCTGAAGAAATTCTTTACTGGAAATGGAGTCTCTAAATTCTCCAATTACTGAAAGGATCATTTTATGCATGTTTCCATAAAAAAGCTGAATGTCATTAGGCCGTTGAGGAAGATCACAGGCTGAAAAAGAAAACCATGTTGTAAAACATGCCGCTTCCACACAAGCACAGCACAAAGCAGGGGACAGCTGTACATCTGCGGCACAGAGCAGTGCTGCTCCGGGGTGGGCAGCTGCACTCCGTTAGCACCAGCTGACAGAAGAATGGGCAACTCGGCACCAACGTGGGCACTCGGCTCTGAGCCTGCCTGGGCAGTACCTTTGTCTCTCAAGGGCGCGGAAACCTCTGACAAGCCCAGGAACCTCCCTGAGCTTCTGTTCCTGCCCCCCATCACCTGGAATACCCACCTAGTTCAGGGATGTGAACCTTACAAAGAGAATATTTCTGAAGATAAGCACATGGCAACAAAAACCATATGAGCCATGCATGGTGGTGCGTGCTTATAATCCCAGCACTTAGGCGGTTGAGGCAGAATAACCGCTGCAAATCTGAGGCCTGCTGGACTATGTAGTAAGTTCAAGGCCAGCCTGAACTACACAGCCCAATCCTGATTTTTTTTTTTTTTTTTTAAATACACACATGAAATGTGTTGTGGGCTGGGAACTATTCCGGTTCCTTTATATTAATTGTTAGAACAATTCTTTCTGGTAGTTATGGAGACATCTTTCTCAAAGATGAGGCAGAGATGCAGAGCAGCTAAGAGTGCACATGTGTAAGAGAAGGTCTCACCAACACTCTCGACAGAACCAGGCAGTGTTACAACCCCAATACTCTTAGACGATCACCTGTCAGACGTGCCTGCTCTGTTGGTAAAGGGGATGAAGGGAATGCTGCTGGATCCTGGGTGATGCCAACCTCTTCGTCCCTGCAGACTGGGGCTACAGCCTGCAATCAGTCCTCCCCCTGCTCAGTCTAGCTTTCACCTGACTTGGTGCAGAGAAGAGACACAGGCCAGTGCCAGAGGCAGGTCCTGACCCATGCACCCCCTCCAACTCAGCATGCAGAATGCCTCACACCATCCCAGGGCCTGCACCTGCTCCCCCGGCAGGAAGGACCCAAATGCCTGAATTGCTGAAATCAGACTACCCTACAGCATGCCTACTGAGCATAAATATCTTTTTCCTCCAGCATCTGATATTTCAGATGCAATATAAAAACTGGAATACCCAAAAGGGCTGGGGAGATAGCTCAGTGGAATAACTGCGTGCCTGACATGCACAGAGGCTTGAGTTCAATACCCAGTACCACAAAAAAATAAAAATAAAATTTTCAAAAATTAAAAATTGAGATAAAAGCTATCACCAGAAACATAACCACTTATTACTCTATGTTGACATTCTGCCAACTCACTTATGTGAAAACATTACATTATTTTCACTACAATGAGATCTTACTGAGGCAAAAATACACCACTGGGCTGGGACCCTGCCCAAGGCTCAACTCTGGGTCCTGTCCATCAGTGCTGCTGTGGTTTGCACGCAGCAGTTTCTGAACTTCAAGGGCCCTTCTCCGCCTTCACAAGTCCTTCACCCGACGCCCCCACAGCCTTCGAGGCCACCAGTTCAAAGCTGTAACCCTGTTGTGCTTGAAGCGTAATCTGTTTTGTAACTTAACTTGCTTGTCTTTCCCACCACAAACTCTATAAAAAGCTCTTCAACCCTCTCCCTACAGCTCAGAATTTGGAATTTTCTCTCCTGTGGGTCAACGGGGTAAATACCAACCTAGAGTCCTCTACTTCTCCAAAGTGCCATTCATGTTTCCTATGTCATTGGAAAACTGAAAAATGCTGTAACACTTAGGTTGCTGTAACATTACAATGTAAAATTTTAAATGATACTTTCTTTTCCCTTTTTTAAAAAAATGTTTTTAAAATAAGCTCTCATTATGTAGCTCCAGCTGGCCTTAAACTCACTATCGTTTTCCTGGTTGGCCTCAAGCTTGTGATGATCTTCTGGCCTCAGCCCCCAAGTGCTAGAATTACAGGTAAATGCCACCACAGCCAACAAAAAAGTCAGCATTTTCTAAATAAATGATTTTCTTATTTTTCATGTCATTTAATAGATTCATATTGTTTTAACACTTAAAAATATTCTGCATAATTAAATCAGCCCTATTCTCAAGCATTTAGATTACTTCAAACTTCCTGCAGTTACAAACAATGCTATGGTAAAAATGTATGTATATGTTTTCACGTAATTTGTGTGTACTGATGTATTTATTTTGTATGACCAAAAAACCACTATCAAACTCGCTGACTGTGTACCGATCCAGGGCCCTGGAGGATCATTACCCTCATCCCATCCCTGAACCCTTCTGCGACCAAGAAACCTAAAGATGAGTTGGAGTTCACACTCACTGTGAAGTAGCGATCACTTGAGTTTAGCAGTGACCATCTCCACCTCCCTGGAGTGAACACCAGTAACATCGAAAGCATTTGTAAAGCAAAGCCCTTGGAGCTTAACATCACAACTCCGAAAGACATAATTCTTGGAGAAAAGGCCGATGCAGCTTGGGTATGCTTCATTCAACCAGAGCAGAGCCGTGGTACCGACCCAAGCAGGGCTCTCCCCACCCCTCCACAGCCTGGCAGCCTAGACGCCTAACCGCACACTCACGCTTACCTTCATCTATGAGCAGCTCATCTTGGAATGCTTCGGCAAAGTCAACACTCTGCAGTACACTATGTTCCGGAAGTATATGCTTGATAATCCCTGGATTATGCGACAGGGCTCTGCCAGGAGAGATTTTCATTCAAAAATGATTTGATGAAAAAAAATTAAAAAAAAAAAGATCTGATGAATCAAGTGTTTTAATTATATTTTCACTATTGGATCTGGCAAATCCCACTAACTGCATATTAACATGTTTTAGGTCCAAAGAGAAACTCTTTTCAAAAGGAAACTTTGTTTTGGAAGTTCCCTTTAAAGTTATATATTGTAGTAAAATTATCAGCTTGGCAATGACAAAGCAGAAATACTAATGTAGGAGTAGAAGGAGGAGTCAAATTAGATTCTTTTCAGCTCTTATATTTTCATTATTTAGTACTCTTCAGATAGTTATAGAGGGCAGGGAGTTGAGCCTTGCTTGTTGCAGGAGGGAAAAAGGAACATGCTAAAAAAAAAGGTAATGCATCAGAGGGGAAGATCTGAATTACCACATAAATATGTCTATCTGGTCCATTCCTGAGAATTTTGATGTAAGAACTAAAATATAAATATTTCTGTGATACTTAGATACTGACCATCAAAGGAAATCTTATTACTATAAATTCATGGTAAATAGGAACTCTGCAATGATACACTGATTTTTATAGCCTAGGAGAGAGAGGGAGAGAGAGAGAGAGGAGCAGGAAGGAGGGAAGGGAAAGAAGGGAAAACCAGGTAATCTTACTTCTGCAAATGTCAGCTTCTGTTTGTAAAATAATTAAGAAAAGCAGAGCCAGGTTTTAAACTTTCCAATGAGCCACAACAAAGCAAGAAAAACAATTTCTCCAACTCTATAGCACAGCAATACAGCACAAGGCCAGAAAATTCAGAAGATGCCTCGCGCTTACCTCACTTTATAATTTATCAGTTTCACAAAACTTATAGAAAAACTGTTTTTCTATGGTTCAATGATAATGAAGCAAGTTCTAACAATTCCAAATCCATGTATCATTCAAGCCTTCATTATTTTCACTGAATAGTTTTCAACATTTTCTAAGATAAAAAAAAATCTACCTTCGATATTGCTGTCGGCAAATTTCATCCCCACCAAAGAAGTACACAGTTGACAGTTGTGTCGTAGTTCTTTGGTTGTGCCTCCTGTCTGGTGGACAGTAGATCACAGTAACATCCTGAGGCCGAGAAAGAAGTGAGGAGCAAGATTTGTGCATTTCATCTGGACACACAGTCTTATGAGCTTCCACAACTGGTTCAGAAAGTGTATGTGTACTGTGTTCCCAAGCAAGCTAGGTGAGTGTTTCTACTCTTACATTACTTCCAAGAATTACTTCAGCATGTAATTATTACTCTAAAAATGTAAGTTCACTTTTTTAGAGCATAGACTTTTATACTCACTTTTTGTGTTCTTTCCTTAAGTACAAATGTATCTGGAAAAATTCTTAATACTTTAGGGTCCAACAAAACTCTTTTCTGAGAATCTTCAAAGCCTACTGCTTTAACGAACGCTGCTCGTGAGCCAGTGTTGCGGACAGAAAAAACAGCTCGGCTTTCCTTGCCAGGTACTAAGCTGTTCACTGTTACCATGTAGCTATCAGATAATTTCTTAACACCTTCTAAAATAAGGTTACTTGTTCCTCCATATCCAGACAAAGGTACCTAAAAAAATACACATTCAAAATTATTTTTATGTAAGAAGACAGATTTAATTGTAGTTGAAAGAGAATTTATAAAGACTGAATACAATTAGAAGCTTTAATGCTGGTATACTTGGATAATAACCTAGTTTTAGCCCACCATTATAGAAAGATCTTATGGGAACACAAGAATAATCCACCATGCAAAGAATAATTATCACACTGTTATCCACAGCTGCCAAGCTGAGACGTGGAGGAACAGTAAAGCGATCACTACCAAAAGGCTTGCTCAGAAGTTTCAGGGTGAAACACACTGATATGAATAATCCACCTGAAATGTGTAAAAAAGGAGAACTGATGGACAGAAGGTCAATGTGTGGTCAAAGAAACAACACAGAATGAATTACAAACTACAAGTGGAGTGTGTGCTGGCACTGTACAGCATAACTCTTTCAACTTCTCAGTAATTTTGGAAATTGTCATAATGGGGGGGAATCCCTTATTGTACAATCAGCACTTGGTCAAGCCAGTGTTGGAGAGAAGCACACACAGAGGCTTGCTAGAAAACAAACTTTCCTCACTCCTCAACTAAGTTATCTGCCAGTCTGTGTACAGTGGCACACACCTGGAATCCCACCTAACGAGGAGGCTGAGACAGAAAGACTGCAAATTTGAAGTTTGTGTGGGCAATTTAGTACAGCCCCGTCGCCACATAAATTACAAGGGCTGGGCATGCAGCTCTGTGGTTCAGTGCTTGTTTATCATGTGAGGTCCTGGGTTTATCTTCAGAGTAACAGCATTTTCCCTTATTTAGAAGAGCTTCCAAAAACTTTCATAAAAAGCAAACATGGAAACATCAGTTGCTGACTTTAAGTCGTGCCATTACACCTAATAAAATAACATTTAAAAAGCTGGACTTAGGCTTTTCACAAATTTGCCTGGGTTTCATAAGAAATTAATCACATTCCAAAGGGCTTCAGATCAGAAATTCCTACAAATTCCATTTCATTCAAAATTATTCCTGAGTGCTGGGGAGATAGCTCAGAAGTCTAAGTGCCTGCCTGGCAACAGCAAGGACCCAGGTTCAATCCCTAGTACCACATGCTGTACCAGCCCTGGAACCCTGGGGGCACTGTGCTGGCAGGCCTGTAATCCCGGCACTGGGGAGATTGAGATAGAAGGATCACTACAAGGCTGAACTGCACAGTGAGACCCTGTATCAAATTAATTAATTAACTAATTAATTTTAAAAAATGGTTTTTTTTTTTTTTTTTGCAGAACCAGGGATTGAACTCAGGCAGGCCACTGCGCTTGCCAGGCAAGTGCTTATTCCACTGAGCTATCTCCCCAGCCCTAAAAAATGGCTTCTGATAGCCAAAAAAGTTTTAAGCTTTCTGTGTGAGGCTAAGAAGTGGTAGCAGGAAGAGGCAGCCTAGAAAACACTCAGCGTGTGCCTTCCTGCACTGCTGTCCTCCTGCATCTGCAGGGACGGATTTCCAGGTGACGGATTCCTGCCACCACTGAGCACCAGGTCCTCCCTGCTCCAATACCCTGGGTGACTAGTATCAACTCTGCAGAGTGCCAGCACACACCCTCACAGCGAACACACCTCACCTCAGACCTTCACACACTCCACTCCCCACACCTTGTACATGCCCACACCCTACACCCCCACAGACCCCTCCACACTCCACACCCTCACAGCCACCACACCCCACCTCAGACCTTCACACATGCCACACACCCCACTCCACTCCCCCACCTGTACATGCCCACACCCTACACCTCCACATTCCCCTCCACACACCCACATACTCCATACCCTCACAGCCACCACACCCCACCTCAGACCTTCACACACGCCACACCCCCCCACTCCACTCCCCCACCTGTACATGCCCACACCCTACACCCCCATATTCCCCTCCACACCCACATACTCCACACCCTCACAGCTACCACACCCCACCTCATACCTTCACATACACCACACCCCCACGCACACTCTACTCCCCCACACCCTCTGTATGCCCATACCCTACACCCCCACATTCCCCTCCACAGACCCACATACTCCATACCCTCACACGTACCACACCCCACCTCAGACCTTCACACACGCCACACCCCCATGCACACACTCCACCACACCCTCTACATGCCCACATCCTATACCCCTACATCCCCCTCCACACACCCACACACTCCACACCCTCACACCCTCCATGTATGCACACCTCATAGCATCTCAGGTAGCGTGCCATGTTGTATTTTATCATATCACTTAGGGTATAAGGACGGGAAGTGTGTACATGCTCGGGGTGTATGTAGAAAAAGAACAATTAAACAGAACAAACCCAACTAATGCCAAGAGTTCATGACTGTTCTAGCAAAGGGTTTCCTAGCCACACCACTATGAAGTCCAGGGCCAGTGATTCCTGTGGTCTGCAGCACATTTAGTAGGACCCTGCCCCTGCCAGTGGGATCCCAACAGTGCCTGTCCCTTCCCCAACTGTGCGCTGTGACTGACCACGTCTCCCCAGGGAGACTACCTCTGGCTGGCATACACAGCTCTAGAGCAGCACCACAGAGCAGGTGGTGCTGGTGTCACAGAAGCTGCTTGGCTGATTAGCACAGGTGTGCAGACAGGTGGCCCAGGTCTGTGCCTGGCTTCCACCCACTGAGTGCAAGATGCACGACCGTGGACATGAGTTTCTGCCTAGCTGCCCACATGTACAACAGAGACAGCAGCAGCATGCTGGACGCGTGCTGTGAAATGACAGGTGAAGCCACACGGCAGATGAGTGCGCGCCTCGTGTCACCTTTGCTGTGAAGCACAGCTGTCCCCACCAGACACTGCCCTGCCAACACCACGTTTGGACTCATCGGTCTCCAGAACAGGGACGAAGCATTTCTGCCATTTAGAAAGTACGTAGTGTGTGGTGTATCATACAGACCACATCAACTAAGACCATATTTTTGCTAGGTTGAAAAGATGTATTTAGAAATACCACATCTTAAAAAAAAAAAAAAAGAAATGAATTGTCTTAAAATTGAGCTCTACTTGCATTAGTCCACAGATGTGCTCCTGAAAACCTAGGTCCATTTCAGCAATCTCAAATTCAGTTGACACCCAAAGTCATTAGAAGACATTGATGGTCACAGGATACCACATTGATGTCTGTAATTTTTTTTCCTTTGTTTTTTTGAGGTAGTATCTCACTACACAACCCAGGCTGGCCTGGAACTTGTGGCAATCCTCCTGCTTTGGCTTCCCCAGTGCTGGAATTATAGGTGTGTGCCAATATGCCCAGCTCCTTTATAATTTGACAGCAACTCCTTAATTTGTTTTAGGTCTATACACTTATAAAAAGCAGAATAGCTGATTTACCAACATTAAACCAATAGATGTAACATAAACTCCATGGGAAGGAAAAAAAAGAGAATGGAACTACCTTACCGTGAATTTAATGCCAGGCTGTAATCGATTTCTGAGTTGTTTAATTTCTAGTTTGGCCAACATACAAGATAATCGAGTAGGTGCAAATAACACAGAGATGACAATGTCTTCTTTTGGATGAATTGTAACCTCATAGTTACTGGTCAATCGCTCCTCGGAGCCAAACGTGTTCTGAAGCTACAATGTAAAAATAACAAACAGAAGCATATACACACACACACACACACACCAAAAAAAAAAAACCACTGCTGACGTAAACTCTCACAAGGCTTGTGGGACAGAACTGAGCACTGAGCATGCCACAAACCTGAAAGCAGTCCTGGTCCTGCCCCCGGATGAGCAGCCGTAAGTGCTGGACTGTGGAAGCATAACTACTTCTTAGAACCAGCTTCTGAAGCCTACAAACAATGACACACGTCAGTGGTGCTTGCTTTCTTCCTGGGTGCTGCTAAAGTTATAAAAACATAGCCAATTTAAAAATTGACTGGTGTCCAGAGACAGACGAATTAGACAGGCCACATCAGCAGGCTGAACTACTCTTGTCTTCTAATGCTAGGTTCTAGGAATACAAGGCTAAGACTCACCTTGTCAGAAAAGCTTCTTAGTTTAAGTTCTCTCAAATCAACCTCCCAACAGGCTTTACCCTGCATATCTATACCGATGTATGCAGTATGACCAAAATACGTGGTATCTGAAGTTTTAAGAAATTATCAGAGTAAGATTTTCATTAATATTCCTCAAAATACTCTCTTTGTTTTGAACACACTTAGCCTATCATTCTTGCCACTTTCTCAAGCAGCTCTGGAAGTTGCCTTCATGAGTGTATTTACAAAGTGCTAAAAAAAAAAAATAATACAGTGAATGCTGCTGCCAGGCGCCATCCAACGGAAAGGCAGCCCGTGCGCAGATGGCTCGTCCTTGCCACCTCATTCAGCACATCTGGCACGTGCAGCTCTGGCTCTTCCCCAAAGGCAGTGTGATCGGGAAGGAGCAACATACTGAACTGCCTGGCGACATGGAGGTAGCTCCTGCAGCACAACTAAAGACGCCAATGAGGGCTCCAAAGCTGCTTCAGAAAGTGACAAGATGTGTTGAAGCAAAGAGAAATAATGGCAATGTGTCTTTTACTGTAATAATATTTTTAAATTTAAACACTCATTGTATTTGTTAATCACATCGCCATCTTTTTTTCCTCAGTGAGTGAGAATCAGTGAAAAGCTCACTGAGCCAGTACTGCACCCTGCTAGAATGCACAGCCCGATTTGCTCCCAGGGACACAAGGGTTCTTAGCTAAGTGATTCACCTGGTGAACCCCAACCCGTCTTTGAACAGGGGAATTACCCCACATGAAAACATCACAAGGAAAGCAGAGTGGGCCCATGGCAGCTGCAGCTTGGCAAGAGCTGTGTAACTCCTCTCCCCATTTAAGAATACCGAGTATTTGAACAGAGTTCACTGTACTTCAAACGTGAAAGCCAGATGTTCCTAAGCTGTGTTCTACGTCCTGTGAGGCCTCTAGCTAGGAGAATCCCAGGGAAACCCTCCCAGGCATGCTGACTAAGAAGACGTACCTGAAAAAAACATCATTTGGTGAAGGCTTGGCTTTTATTTATTTTTTAAGGAAATGTGGTTTTTATTTTAAGAAGAGTTACCAAGATGAGGAAGGAGGGCTAAATTTTCAGCCTTAAAAAGAAACTATAACATGGAACAGGTATTTTTCCATCAAGTATTGATATGTTAAACTTTGAGTCCCTACAGAATATGAAGAAAAAAATTAAAATTAAAAAAATAAAAAATATTTTAAAAAATAGGAATAAACAATTACATACTTTTATACAGAAATTTAGAAATCTAACCATATACAGCATTGTAGCAGGACAATCATGTGACTTTTTTTTTATCTCTTGTTTTCATTTATTATCCCTTTTTTTTTTCTTGACACTGAAAAAGTACAAACTGTGATACAGGGTTTCAGAATAAATCCTGAGGGGACTTGACTGACCTTATCAGATATAAAAGTTACATTTGCTGTTATATAGGTCTTGCTTTTTCTTGTTCTTAACCGTTCAGCAGAAAAGTATAAAAACAAAGTATGAAAGCTATATTAATATGCTGAGCGGTAAAAGATTCACGTCAACAACTGACACTGCTAGTCCTTTGGAAAACCCACTACTATTATGGACTACTGGACTATATTGGAATATTTGCTGAATTCATGCACCTACAATATTTAAATGACAATGGACAATGGAATACCCTTCTCTGACAAAACTAAAGAAAAAAGGGGATATAAATGAAGGACCATTTTGTATCTGTATATTCAAAATAGGATAGATATACAACTACTTTCTCAATTCAATGAATACAAAGATTTGTTCTAATAGTGTTTGTGGACAGGATATCATGTCTGCATCTTGTACAATGAATAATCACTAAGACAACAATATGCAATGTATTAATTACTGAAACTGTCCTACTAATCGGTTTTGAAACTGTCTCATTGCTATTTGTTTCTCAATAAAATTAAAAAAAATTTTAAAATACAAAGTAATTGTTCAGATTACCAGATATAAGCATGTAAAATTGAAAAAATTAAGCATGAACTGTTTTTATCAATAAATCAATGGAAATTAGGGGGGAAAAAAGAAAGAAAAAATACTATAAAGGGCCAGCCAAATAGCTCGGAGGATTAAAGCATCTGCTTAGGCAGACACAGAGGCTGGGTCCCTGGGTCTGCAGTGCTGGCCCTGCCCCCACCCCAGGATGCGCTGAGACATCCATTGAGACTGGATGTGGTGGCATGCACCTGTAATCCCAGCACTTGGGAGGCTGTAAACAGGAGGATCACTACAAGTCTGATCTGCACAGCGAGACCCTATATACCCTGTCCTAAATACAAATAAATAAATAAATAAATAAATAAGACTATACAGCCAGGTGTGGTGACCAATGCCTGTCACTGCAGCACCCCAAGAGGCTGAGACACAAGGATTATAAAATCAAGCCCAGGCTGGGCAATTTAAGGACTTAGTGAAACTCTATCTAAAAAAGTGTATGGGTGTGGGTGTGGGTGTGGGTGGGTGGGTGGGTAAGCTGAGGATCTAGCTCAGTACAAAAGTTCTGGGTTCAATCCCCAATACTGCAAAGAAAGAGGAGATAGGAAGGGAGGGACATGAAGAGGGAGGGAGGAGAAAGGGAATGTCCAAGCTCAGCCTAGGAGAGCAGGAGCTTGCTAGAGGTACATGATGGCTTCACCTCTGCCTGACTGCACCCCTGACCTGGCTGCAAGAACACAGGACACAAGTGACCCATAGGCTCAAACCAACAACACCAGGGATTTTTTCAAACCTTAGCTTCTAGAGAACATACAGTTTGCACATTCCTTCCTCTGGTTCTCTCTCGCGATACCAAAGGTTGAATCCAGGATGTCCCATGTGCTGCACTACACTGAACTGCACCCTCAGCTCTTTTTTTACTTTGCAACAGAGTCCCCCCAACTGCCTAGACTGACCTCAAATTTACAAGCCTCCTGCCTTAGCCTCCCAAGTGGCTGACATTACATGTTGCACACCATTATGCCTGGCTTCCGTCGAGTCCTTTAGGTGACCTAAATGATCTCTAACAACCACACAGCTGTGGAAAGCCCAGGTGTTTCTGCTCCCCCAGGTCATGGTGTTCTGGGAAACCTGGTGCTATAGGTGCTGCAGGGCTGGCTTTGAGGTTCCTGCATCCCACAAATGCATTGGTAAAAGGCCCAGCAGGATGCACCACAAAGCACAGGCACACTTCTCTCAAGCAGGAACCAGTTTGTCCTCGGCATCTGCACACCGGGATAGATTGGGTACTCCCTGCAGTGACTGCAGAAGTGTCACCCCGGTCATATAGGCCCATTTCTAACTTAACTCTTCCACCTTCTGCGTCCTTCCAAAGGCTGCCTGGAAGAGCAAAGATGGACAGAGTTCACTTAGAGCCTTTGGCACCAGCAAAACTATAGTTTGACTTAGTTAGTTTTTGAGATAAGAATGTTATGTGGTTCCGGCTGGCCTTGAAGTCGGTGACCCTCCTGCTTCAGCCTCCGACGTGCCAGGACTGCGGGCATGCCCCACCACAACCAGCTCAAAGCTGCCGTTCTAAAGAAGCATTTCCTCACAGCTGCAGTGGGGATGCAGCCACACTTCACACCCCTGAGCTCTCACACATCACATCAATAAACATATGGGCAGACCACTTAGGACAAATGTGGAAGTGCAAAATAAGAGTGAATATTCAGACTTCATACTTCGGTTATTAATCAGAAGTGTTTGTTGACTTGCTGTTTGTGAAACAGTACAGACCGCTAAGCTACAAGCTTTCCCTTTGTAGAGACAACATATTAATGTACTCCATAATGTCGTTAATTTTATTGTTATTTTCCCAGCAATCACTGTATGAGTAATTTATATACTTTTTTAGAATCAAGTATAAAGCAGAGCACAGTTCACACTGGCCAGTGGTGAACACCACCTGCCCCGCAGACCCTGCACTCCTGACCTCTCCGAAGTGCTCACTAGACTGTCAGCTTTGATACCTGTGCGCTCCCCACTCTCCACAGAAGCAAGCTCTTAATCGCCTAAATTTGGTAATCAGCAGAGAATTTGACAAAGAGCTTAAGAAAACTGAAACCTGTCTCTGAGACACATTATTAAGACAGGGAAAATTTTTAATTCAAAGCTTAAAACTCAGATAAGAAAATTAAATAAATATAAGATAGCTTTCTCTCAATGCTAAAAGCAGTAATGCAGCCATAGTTAGCACAGGAAAACAGCTGGACAACAGAGCAAAGTTTTGGCTGTTCATACGTACTGTGTCCTGCCCAGAGGGACTCCGCCCCACGCCAGGAACTGCTTGTTGGACAGAATGGACGAAAGATCTGAGAAGCAAGAGCCTGGGGACAGGGGTTGAGTTCCGGAAGAAACAGCTTCACCCTTTAACATTACTTCATATTGAGGGCCACATGGATGTACAAATATCTTCAAGATCCTAACAACAACAAAAAACTAAGTCAAATGTCCTGTGTTCAATTCTGCAGGCAACAATTTCCTATCTATCTGCTGTGTCCAAGAGATGGAAGGGCTGCGGTACAGTGACACTCCCCACCCTGACTGCCTGTACCCCAGGAGGCACACAGACCAAGGCAGCAGTCAAAATCCACCTACAAGGCGGGACGAGAAAGGCACCATGGGAAGCCTACTTATGAGGAATATAGGAAAAGTCAGAGAAGTCTCTAGAAGCTGCCAGCCCAGGTGAGCTAAGGGCAAGCATCCAAAGCATGGATGTTCGCACTAGAGGGCTAACCCTTCCCTTCCCCTGGGGGTCCTGACAGCAGACAAACACTGCTACCAGAGGAGGCTGCTTCAGCAAGGTCTGTGCACAGGAGCCCAAACACACAAAATGGCACCCTGGCTAAGCTCACTACAGCCTGGGCGCCACGGTCAGGGGCCTGGAGGAAGGTGGAGAAGTCTGATGTGAACTAATGACACAGTCAACTGCAGGCTTCCTAGGAGAAAGAAAGTGCCCGAGAAACATCAAACTTGAGGTCTCATTATTTACTATTGTTAGAATATTCTCAAAATATTGATCTATTAAGTTTCTATTGAACTGGCTTAAAAGGGTATTTTTAGCAATAACAAGAAAAACAGGTGAAGTGAAAGACTAAGGAACCACTGTTAACTTTTTTTTTTTGTATTTTAGGGAAGGGTCTACAAGGTGTTCAGGGTCTCACTACTAGATTGGACTCATAGCGATCCACCTGTTTACAGCCTCCCAAGAGCTGGGATTACAGACATGCGGCAACGCACCTAGTCTCCATTCTATAACCTGGTGACACAGGATATGGACCTTGTACTTGGGCTGGACAGGAAGCCCACTGATGTGAGCACCGTTCTGAGAGATGATTATAAATTTACCATGATAAATAAATACTTTCATATTACCTTTCCTCACAGGTTTTGGGATCCTTTGGTGTAAAGGAAACTATTACTTCATGTTCTTCTCCAGGCTTAAGGAATAGATTCTCTGGATACACTGAAAAGTGACTTCCTTGTTGTGGGACCTAAACAATTACATAACCATAACTAGAGGCCAGCTCACATGAGGGTTCTCCCTGGGGTCCAAGGTCTGGGTGTCTGATGTCCTATTTGTCCCTTTCTCTTGTCTCTTACTGTCTTAATTCATCTTACTGTCTCAGGAAAGCTATGTTTTCCTCCTCCTTCCTTTTCCACAGCAAACCTACCTCCCACACCACACCCAATACCTGCTCATCACTGCTCGCAGAAACAACATTTATGTGTGTGGATCACAGCTCACTTTCCTCCCATTCCTCCTGGCCACAGGATGACAGACACGCTTTTTCAGGCACTAACCTAGAACTTGTTTCTTTTTTTCCAAACATGTGACTTTGGCGTGAACACACCTGGCACCTGCCTGGTGCCACTGGCAGGGGCACTGGAAGGGCGATCAGCAGAAGCGATGGGAGCTTTACAGCACTCCAAAAAGGTTCTCACTTTTTTTTTTAAGGTTCTCACCTTGATATCTAAATAAACTTCAATATTTCCAGCATTTTTCAGAGGCAAAGGCTGCTTTGCTGAAGAATTCACGCTGGCCAACAAATGCACAGTCTAGAGGGGGACACAAAGACATGTTATCTAACAAGCTGTCAAACTCTGTGTGAAATCAGCCTAAGCACCAATCCCAGCACCAGAGCCAGGGGCACCTGCAGGTCCTTGGGAGCGTGGATCCTGGCGAGGCCTGCTCTTGCCCGGAGACCCACGCTGCTGAGAGTGGGGGCAGGGTTGGGGCTGTCTACTTCGACATCCACTCTTGCCACAAATTCTTCCGCTGACTCTAGCATCTCTGTAAAAATTCAGTATTTTAGTTTGGAGAGCAGAGCTAGTTAAACCAAAACGCCACCAGCAGCCCAACACAACCTGCTTCGAGTTACAAGGAAACTTAAAGCAAAAAGACAAAGTTTTCTGGGTAATTGCTTGGGTTTCCCACACTTAAGCAAGCTTGACCCAAATTATCACACCACTGGCCCATCTTGTATACAACATAAAATTCAATACAAATTACTCAAAACACATCTAGTGGAAAGCCTAAACTCAAATGATGAGTTTATTTAGCTATAAGGCATTCCCCACAGAAAAGTAAATATGTTACCTGAAGAAGCAATTAGTTTCTTTGGACTATGGAAAAGAACCCAAATTATCAGAAATTTTGGATCCTACAAAATGAAAAAAAAAAAAAAAATTTAAATACATACTGGTATTAAGACTAAAATCTTAATGATGAAATCTGGAAACTTCCTATTTAAGTCTAAGTCAGTTTTTCTTTTTTAAATTTTTTATTAGTATGTATTTGCAGTACATAATGTTTGCCCTTTTCTTAGAGATAGGTACAGGTATTAAACATATCTTAATTCTTTATTCCCTTTCCTCTCTCCCTCAGCCTCTGGATCCTCTGCCCATTCGCAAAGGATCTGCCTGCCTCTTGGTTTTCTATGCACTGTCTTTTATTTTGTTCTTTAAAAAATTATTTATCCTTTGGGGTTTTCATATAAGAGAAACTATGTGATATTTAAACTTCTGTGTCTGATTTATTTCACTTTACATGGTTTCAAAGTGCATACATTTTCCTTCAAATGGCTCAAATGTATCCTTTTTTCATGGAAGAGTAGTGCTCTATCATGTATAAATACCACACTATCTTTACCCATTCATCAGTGGATTGACATCAGAGTAATTTCCCAAACTTAGCTATTATGAACCGTGTTGCTGTAAACATGGTTGTGCATGGATCATTGTAATACAAGTTTTTAAAATTTTTTAGGAAGGTACCTAAAAGAGGAATAGCTGGGTTGAATAAAATTCTCATTTTAGTGTTTTGAGAAATTGGCACACTATTCCCACCAACAGTGCAGAAAGGTTCTTTTCTCCCTGCAGCATTTGTTATTAACTTCTTGATGATGGTAATTCTTTCCAGGGTAAGACAGAATCACAGTGTTGTTTTAAGAAGCACTGTTGGATGGCTCTAAGGGAGTCCTCCAGCTCCATGGCCTACCTGTCCTTCATAACTGGCAGGCATCACATGGCTGACCACAGAAGGCGCTGCCAGCTGAGCCACCACATCAGCATAGGGAGCAGCTTTTAGGGCAGCAGAGACTGGTTCCTTGGCAAACGTGAAACAGCGCCAGGCTAAGGCATTCTGTTGAGAAACATACAGTTCAGTGTGGTACTGGGGTTGCTAATGGAAGCCTGGACATAACTGCCTTTCAGCAGCAAGACGAACCAACAACGCCAGGTTATCTACCACTCTGAATCAGTGTCCCCTGCAAACTGCCCCTATACTTACGGCATGAATAACTAGCCGGAGTGGGATGGAAGCATGTGACCTGTTTATCAGTTTTAGTGGGAGAGCCTTCCAGCCTCCGTAAGTCACGTCACCAAAATCAAGAACACCTTTCCTTTCAGTTTCTACCTACATATGAGAAACAGGCACTGATTTAGGAACAGCAATATACTAATGAACATCACAGCTCAAGTGGTTGTGGCCACAGGTTAAGAATCAGCACTAAATGTAAACTCAGACCTAAATTTTCTCAGGCTATTCTGTAATTGTTTACTTCCTACAAAACTAAATGCTGAACTCTTCTTCTGAAGTAGTCTAAGCATCCAGACATACTACAGAATAAAACAATGTCTCAGCTGCTGTTATTCTGAAGACAGCTTGGTAAACACCCAGCTCTCTCCTTTAAGGAGCAGTAACTTCAAGAGCCCCCTTCAAGGCTGTCATGAATATCACAGCATTTTCAGACTTCCTTCAAATTTCTGATCAAATAAAGATGTTTAAAGTGTGAAAACAGACATAGCAAAAGTTTAATATACTGGATAACACTAACACACACACATGCACACACACCCTGCACTAGCACACCATAAAGTACAGGGAAATCAGAGGCAGACTGGCAGGTCTGACTTTCACGGTGGCCCACAGTGAAAGGTCCAGAGTCTAGTTCTGTCCCTACAGAACTAGGGGGCAGAGCTTAGCACTGAAGACAGCACTTAAAGCCCATGGGAGGTACAGTGCTGCTGGGATAGCAGGTGAGCGTGAAGCCTGTCCAAAAGAGCCGGGAGCTGGGTCCAGCAAGGGGCCTCGCTGCACTCCTGCTCCACAGCTACATGCTCTCTGGGGATAGTTCCACAGACCACGACATATGGGTCCTAGGCAAAAGCAGACACAGTGAATGTAACCTCACAAAACTTCCAAATACCAACTGAAACTCAAAGACCATGTGAACAGAAGAGCCAAAAGGACTCAGCCAAAGTAACTAACAGAGCACTTGTACCTCTGGAATCAGAAGTAACCTGAAGCATGCCACAGATAGTGCCCACCTTCTGGGGTAGCAGATGTGACATACACTCAGCTGTCACATCAGGGAAAGGGTTACTCTCACAAGCAGAGGCCTCTTACACTGCACAAACAGGTCCTAACCACATTTTTCCAAATATTACTTTTTTTTTTTAATGTATTTGGTACAGGGTCTCACTATGCAGCTTGGACTGGTAGTGATCCTCCTGTTTTCAGCCTGCCCACTGCTGGGATTACAGGCGTGCACCACCATGCCCAGACCCAGGTGGCTGGCTCAACACGCCCTGGGTTGGGGCTGGCACAGCATGTGGCCAAATATTACTTCTAAGATTAAGCAATCTGCATTAAAATATTAGGAAGGACAAAGACCAGTGGAGAAACTATTACCTCAATAACAGGGCTCTCGGCGATGGCAGTGAGAACAACTCTGCTTGCCAAAGCTTCTGCTTGCAGGATTGTCTCAGTGTCTGCTGAAAATGGCCACGAAGCAACCCTGAAGACACATCTGAAAATCCCAGGATCCAGTGGTATGAAAAGCACTGTTATCTCTTCTGCCGCATGCGGTCTTACAATGACTTTATTCTTGAAAACTAAACAAGGATATGTTGAGAGATCCACCTTCAAAAACAACCAAAAGGTTTGTTAAGAAATGGCTTTATTTTGAAAATCAAAGCGAATCACCTAGATGAAGATTCCCTTCCCTTCATATGCACTACTACTCAACCTGGACATCATCTCTTCCAAAATATCACTATCTGTAAAGCCTCACTAGTCGACATGCTTCGGAAGCTCAGTTTGTCTTGCTACACAGAAACTGCACCTTCCTGGCCCAGTTTTGCACAGACCTGGTTATCTCACACTCTCTTTTCCTACAGGGTACTGCAACGGCATTCTCAGCCAGGGACTCTCCCTACGATGTGGTGCTACATCTGCCCAGGGCCGACTGACTGTGCTGGCCACATCCCTCCTCTCTGTAAACGAGGGCCTTATTCCCCACGCCCACATCCACAGACAACTCTTCCCTTCCAATCTTACCCTTTAATTACCTACTTTTCCTTCTTTTTTTAAAAAAAATGTATCTAGTACAGGGTCTACAGGGTCTCGCTACATAGATCGGACTCGCAGTGATTCTCCTGTTTTCAGCCTCCCAAGCACTGGGATTATAGACATATGTCACCATACCTAGTCTCAATCACAGTCTCAGCCCACCCCAGGGGCAGGGAGGGGCAGGGTGGAGCCAGCACATAACCCAGGTTCCTGGCAGGTGCTTGAGTCTGCTGAGCTATTTGACCAGCCCTTAAATACCTGCTTTTCATAACCCAAGGATCTGAAAGCAGAGGAAAACCAAAGAAAATAAGAGGAACCGTGGAGATGACTATATGCTACCGGGGAGACAAAGGCTGGTGGCCAGGGCAGTAGAAGCACAGCTACCCAGCCTCCCTCCCAGCAAGAAGAAAGGAGACTCTGGGTCCAGAGTTGCTGTGGAAGTCATTGCTCACTGCCTGCTCATGTCAATCACATTCAACAAGGTCAAAATCAATAAGCAGCCAGGAGTGATGACACAAGCCTGTGATCTCAGCACTCAGGAGGATGGATGGTTGTGAGAGAGACCAACCTGGGCTACAGAGTGAGCTCTAGACCAGCCTGAACTGCAGAGTTAGACCCTGTCCCAAAAAGGGGGGGAAATCAGTAAGCAAGCCAGAAACTCAGAGCACTCAGTGATCTAAATACTAGTGCTAAAAGCAAGAGAAGTGGTTTTATGAAGGAGAAATGACAGCTCATCCAGATCTCACTTCTCACTCTGCGAAGCACTGCAATAAAGGGGACAGAGAAGACCCCATGCAGGGACAGCTGAGCAGCTGCAAGCTGGGTGGGCAGACTGCAGGCATGACCTCCAGGAGCCCACACACTCACCTTCTCCCCACTGACGCTGATGCTCAGTGCTGCCACGCTGACCTGCAGCCAGTGGTCAGTAGGGTTGAGCACGCTGAGGCGGGTCTGGGAGGCAATGCCCACGCAGCACGCATGGGGGAACTTCAGCTCCTCTGGCACCCTGACGCTCACTGTCAGAGAAAGGCAAAGTACACTCATCGATCACCCGGGGAGAGCATGGCTGGGGTGGGGAGGATCACCACAGAGCTACCTGCGGGGACCCAGGTTTCACACATGCAGAGCTGCCAGACTCTATCCAGCCCAGGAAAAGCAAAACAATTAACACTGGCAGAACCTGCAAGTGACAACAAATCAACCCCGTGATGTCACTACCAGTTGGGAACCTGGCCATTTTTTCTCTCCAAAATCCACTCCCAAAGTAGAAAGACCCGTTTAGGGCCAGGTGTGTGGCGGTACATGCCTGTGCTCCCAGCACTTGGGGAGCTGAGGCAGAAGAATAGCCCTGTGAGGCTGGGCTGGGCACGTAATAAGGTCATGGTCAGGCTGAACTGCAGTGAGACCGTGCCTCAGAAAAACAAAAGGTAAAGGCTGGTGAGACAGCTCAGTGGACTGAGTACCTGCTTGGGCACGCATAGGAACCAGGTTCGATCCCTGGCACCACATGCCGTGCTGGCACCACACAGCACCCGGGTGTGCTGAGCCAGCCACTGAGAGTCCAGGTGTGGTGGCACATGAGCTAGGGAGGCTGAAACAGGATGATCACTACAAGTGTGAGCTGCATAGTAAGACCCTGTACCAAATACATTAATGAAAGAAAAAAGATCCTATAGTAGCTTGTACACTGAAGTGCCTGCCTGCTCAAGGGTCTGAGAAACACCTCTGATCTCCCTTGCACAGTGACTCTGGAGGGTGGACAAGATTGGGGTGGACACATCACACCAGGAAAGCACAAACCCAGCTCTGTCTCAAAGACGGCTGCCAGGGAGAGGAGCCACCTGCCCATGAAGCAGACGCTGCCTCCCACACGGGCATCTCACCCATGGTGGACATTTCTCAGGTGAAAGGACACCGAACAAATCCAAGTGCAGAGCTGAAGAGACAGGGAAGATGTGGCCCAGAGAACTGTCCGACTACATAAATGTCAGCATCACGTGAAGCCAACCTCATGGACCCTTGTCCTGAAACACTACGGTGCTCTCAATATCAGACAAAGAAAGGAGGTAGTAAGAAATGAAGGGGCTGGTGATACAGTTCAGTGGCATAAGAACCTGGCGGGCAAACTCAAGATGCTGATTTGATCCCCAAGACAAAAAAAAAAAAAAAAGAAAACATTTTAAACATTTCTACTTTTGCCAAGAAATGTGTAAAAAAAAAAAAAAAAAAAAAAAAAAGGCCAAAGCTGGGCACGGTGACACATCCCTTACACATTTACAACAGGGTCATACCTATTAGGTGACTTGAACCACCAGTGGAACATGCATGACTGTCCCATGTATAACCGCACCACTTCTACCAACAACAGTACAAGCCACCCAATGGGGCAGTCCAGTATATACCACCAGTGGTTCAACTGGCAAGAATGTGTCCAACCTAGTATTTGGGAGGCTCAGGCAGGGTTGCTGCAATTTTGAGGCCAATCTGCAATGCATACTGAGTTTAAGGCCAGCTTGAGCTACTATTGAGACCTTGTCTCAAAAAAATAAGGCCAAACAATACTTCTTTCAAACAAACTAGCTTTGTGGACCCATTTGAGAAAACTGAAATTTTATTTTATTTTTATTTTTTTTAAGAAAACTGAAATTTTAAATAATGAGTCATAAAAAAAGAAAAAGCATCTTACCAAATCCTGTCGTCATTCCTGAATCCCAGGGTTCAATCCCACAGCTTGCACTAGCAGGGTGCACGGAAAAAGACTTTGCTGCGCTGTGCAGGTTCTGATGGAAGGCATCAGAACACGGGGGACAAAGGGCAGAGGGATGCAACAGTCTGGAAGCAAGACTTGGCCCTAGACAAACCCCCACAGCCATGGGGTTCTGAACCTGCTCCCCCACCGGGCCTGGGTAAGGGGGGCACCCTGAGAACGCACAGATGGGGGCACTGCTTGCGTGGCACACAGGAGGCAAAGTGACATGTGTCCCTGTGCATGGCTGGGCCAAGGTGGCCGTGGTGAGCGAGGGCCTGGCCCAGAGTGCAGGACAGGCCGAGGGTGTGCTCTGCGCCTGGGCGGCGGCAGCAGTGGAGAACTGGTGTCCGGGGATGCTCCGAGGCAGGCCCTGGCCCCTGGACTCACTGCCGGTGTCCTCAGAAGCTGCGCTCTGACCTCCAACCACAGGCTGCTGGCCCAGCGCAGGGAGTCGCGGTGGGGCTGGCCCAGCCCAGCAGCTGAGAGCAGGCTGGCCCTGGACACGGCCGCCACAGGATGACCCCGCCTCCTGCCTGGCTTCCCACAGCTTTCTGCTCTCCAAGGAAGTGGCCTGGCTCGAGGTGGAGGTAGGTTCCGTGTCATGATGCCCGCAACTCAGGGAAGCAACTGCGGCTATTCTCTGTTCTCCAGACTCACTCGGAACCCAGCAGTGGAATGTGGCTTTGCCACTCTGCTGGAGGGTGAGCTCTGCCTCTGCCTCCTGCTCCTCCTCCTGCTCCTGCTCCTCCTCCTGCTCCTGCTCCTGCTCCTCCTCCTCCTCGGGGGGCACTGGGCTGGCTCCAACGATGGTAGTGCTCAGCTCACTGGTGAGGTCACTCTGTGTGTGACAAGTGTCTACCGTCATCCACAGGTAACCAAACAGCAAACCCAAGCCAAGGCTGCACAACCTCAGGAGGTACAGTAAGGTCTACACTACACGTCCCTGCTAAGGAAGAGCTGATCTACACATAGAAATCAGTTTTGCAGCTTCAAAAGACAACACAGGCCTACATAAGAAAACTGTGTTTATGATTTTGTAAAAATAATTGTAATGTGAGGAAAATAAATGGGTGACATATACCAATGATGTCCCCAAAATTCACATAAAGGACCAGATGTTGGGAAGAAGGGGATATGAAGTAATATTTTACTATGCTGGAAACCAGGCTACACAACAGGATCCTGTGGCTCTGAGAGCAGTGTGACCTCGCTTTGGGTACAGAAAAGCAAGCAGAAGGTTGTCTGCTTTGTGGCTATGCAGAGAAAGATCGTAAATGCAAATTGTTTTTTGAGACTGGGTCTCACTCTAGTTTGGGTTACTCACTAAGGAGCCCAAGCTGGCTTCAAACTTGTGGCAGCCCTGCCTCAGCCTCCCAGTGCTGGGATTACAGCTGTGTACTACCATGCTCAACGGTAGCACTTCTAAAGCAAGACCACACCTTCTGAGGACAATCTGAAGAACGCAGGGTTAGTGACATGGAGAAGCACTTGTTTCCATTAAGTTGGTCCCCAGCGTGTGAAGGTGCTGTTCCACGAAAAGTGCACGACCCTCTCTCCTGTGCTCCTCACTTGCTAATTAGGTGCCAACCATGGAGACTGCTCTGCCTGTCCACTAGAGGCAGGCCCCTCCTGGTCCCCTTGTACCTTGGACACTGTCTTTTGTTTTTATTACCTACTGTCCCCCACAGGTATGAGGGCTATTCAGCCCCTTTGTAATAAGAATCTTCATAAACTAGCAACACAGGAACAAAGAACAAGCAAAGTGCCTGCTGATAAGGACAAGAGGTTGGAGGTGACACACTGCAGGCCGAGGCTCTCCGTGCCATTCCTGTCTGCACACGCCCAAAGGTTCTGTAAACCAAGCCTGCTCCAGTTTCTAAGCCTGTGTGGCCTCTAGTCTGTGTATTTAGTTACAGTCCTGGCCGGGGTTCACAGGCACTTCTTCATGCACAACCAGAAGGTGACACCACCAGTTCACAGCAGGGACCACCCTGCAACCCATCAATTCAGCCTGGCTCTAGGCCTGAAATCGCTCCTGGACTGAAGCTTTAGAAATAAAGATACTGACAGCCAAAGTCCAGAACCCTAGTAGTTATCAGTAATAGTGCAGAACATACATACTCAGGGGAAATTACCAGGTGGCTAGCACAGACCTTCCTGCACTGCTCCTCACAGAGGATGCAGTCTGGGGACCCGACAGGAGGCTGCCCGACATGTCATTCAGTTCCCAGTCATAACCAGAGCAAGCAGACTCAACATCTAGTGACATCAGAAGCTGGCCTCACTGACTGGACCATGCAGCGTCAGACTCCTGACGCTGGGCATGCACTCAACAGTGCAGTGGAGTGGCCAGTACCATGTGTGCAGAGCAGGTACACTCAGCTCACTGCAAAGCTGAACACTCACACTCACAACACATGTGCAAGAACACACAACACCTGAGCTGCTCCCAGGTAAACCTCAGCTCTCCTTCCCTAGCTTGCCACAGGACTTCACCATCTCTCACCTGAATTTCTGCAATGGCCTCATATCAAATCTCTCTGTTCTAACCTTGCTTCTCCATGCCTGGCTGGAGTGAGCTTTGAAAAATCAAAGCAGATCCAGTCACTAGACACAGACATCAAGCCACGGGCCTACAATCCATCCCACTGAAGCTCTGGTGCACAAGACCGTTCCTCGTGCTCTGACCTTACTGACACATTCTCCTTCCTGCCCAGCCTACAAGAGTTCAAACTCCCAGATCAGACCTCCCAGGCTTCGCAGCCCTCAGTCTTGCCTTCTCATTGTCATCACTTCCCTATGGGTAAGACCCACTGCAGCCACCCGAGGCTCTCTAACGAGCACTTGCAGGGCAACGCACAGCTCGGCCCCACTTCATCCAGTCTCATCTGCCCCTCGACTCCCCCAACCTGTTTAGATCTAAGTCGCATACACACCAAGGCCTTCGTGCACCAACACGCTCACAGTGAGAGTGAGCTGAGCCCCCCAGCCCTGCCACTGGGTCTGCTGCCTCAGGACACATCCCTACCATGGTGCACTTCACTACCCAACCTGCCTGGCACTAACATTGCTCTTGGCCCTCCAGTGCCCACCAGCAGGACTAGCTATTTATACAGACGTGTGAGTACACATGCACATACACACGCTCAATTGTAGAGGCAAAGGAGCCCACCCGGACTCTGACTAGGCCTGAGCTCCAGTGGAGTCAGGCATGAAGCTGTTCTGAGAACAGCCACATGTGCCTACCTTGTGGGCATCATCAGTGGCTGAGGTAGGACAGGCGCTCTCCTGCTCAGACACGTAAGTCAGTCTGCTCATGTCAGCATGGGAACATGCCAGCCTGGACGGTTCACGCTCAGCAGGGCACTTTTGGAGACAAGCTGCAGAACCAAGACATTCTGAAGCACCCCTGGAAGAGAAGCAAGAGCCTCATGTCAGTTACCAGTCTTTACTCATCACCACCCACCACAGCCACCCCAGCCTGCCCTCACTAGGAAGCAACTCTAGCAAGCACTCACTTTTAATTTAATTATCTAAAACTTGTGTCTATTCCTACTGAAAACCTATTTGCTTTTTATTAATACAACATACAGACATCTAACAATTCACTCAATAAAATGAACTGAGTAGTTAATATGGAGCAACAAACAAAAGTATTACAATTTCCTTCCCTCAAAGAACAATGATGAAAGAGAAACCAATACAGGAACAGGCAAAAAAAAGGGGAACAGTGTGATGCACTGAGCGGAGCACGTCCATACACAAATAAGGGGGCACGACTTCCAGCAGAGCAAGTGGCTGGGACATAGCAAAAGCCCCCTGAACTATAATGTCCCGCATCTAGGAATGTCTCGCAGGAAAAAATGATAAAGACTTCACAAAAAAGTTACTTCATCAGAGCGCTGTCCATAGCAAGTAGGAAAGGTTAAATCTCCTACAGGAGGAGGTAGGTTATAAAAGAACACTGCAGCCATGATCACAGAATATTGGGGTGTAGGGCTGGGGTGCCACTTGGCTGCAGAGTGCTGGCCCACAGTAAATGAAAAGAGCAGGGCACAAACATCTGCACCAGAGAAACAGAAATTCACAAAATATTTATAAAGGTTGCTTTTGGAAAAACAAATCTAAGAGTGAGCAGTTATTCTTCTGCATGCTATTTGCAAGTTTTCCAACACAGAGCACACACTGTCAGTAACAGCAACAATGATGGGGGAGCACGCACCCTGACAGACTGGCCCGGGAGCCCTCGCTGGGTGAAGAGTGGCTGAGTGGGGAGGTGGACGGGCGAAAGCTCTCTTGCTCCTCCTCTGAGCCAGCTCCAGAGTGCTCGGAAGAGATGGTCCTGCCATCTGTCAAGAAGCACAGGTTCCGATGAGAACAGAAAGCACTACGCACAGGTCTGTGAACGTGAGCAAGTGCTCAGATACTTACCCATACTTCTGGCAGAGACTGTGCCAGGTTTCTCAAAAGTCACATGCTTGTCACTGTTGCTTATTTCACTAACACCCTCTGTTTCTCTCCGGTTTTGTATTTCTTCACACTCTTCCAATAGGCAAAGGGGTATTCTTCTGGGGCTCTTTACAGAGGGGTAACTGCTTGCACCCAAAGTGGACACAGAGGCAGCTTCCTTGATGTGACCCGTGTCAGGCAAGGCATAGTCAGAGATGAGTATCTGCCCATCAGCTGCTGCAGGGCCCTTCACTCCCAGACTTGTCAGAGCTGAGTCTGAAGAGTCTGTGGCTCTGAATGAGTCCTGATTGTCACTCTCCGCACTGCCAATATGAAGCACAGTTGCTGCTCTTTCTCTTGGTTCCTGTTCACTCATGTTAGCAGCACAACAGCTGACTGTATGGATATCCTCAGCAGTCTGTTCTTTCAGCAAAGATAAATCCCAAACATCCAAAAGGCCAGCTCTTGACATACTTTCTAACCCACCTTCACATCTACTAGCTTCCGTTTTTGTGAGGTACTTCTCCATATCAAATGCACCGAAGCCACTGCTTCTGTGCAAGTCACCAGGGGAGCGACAGGACAATGTGGAGCAGTCCCTGTGCTCACCATGCTCCTGAGCAGCCTGGCCACTGGCTCTGTTTCTCAGGGCTTTCATCAGGGCAGCAAACTGGAAGGGATCAGTGCTAACAGAGGCGTCTGCGATGGCTGACGCAATGGTGCTGATCCTGAGCATGGAATCACCATGGTCAGGGATCTCCTCTTTGTGCTGGAGTTTGTCATGCCTAAAGAAAGTGTCCTAGAAATCAAAAAGTGTACATCAGAGAAACCCATGCCACTTCTATGGAATATGTTAGTTGAAACTTTACAGAAGAGCTTCCCCGGGAGAAAGGGGAGGGTACTCTGAGGCCAGGGATGGCTCTGAATGTCCCATAACACAGGACACTATCTGTTAGACACACCTAGAATAAAGCTTACCTATAAAGTAGGCCTGGTAAAACATCAATGATGATAACTAATAAAATACAGCAATCATAACAATGCACCATAATAAACATACGTGAAAGTCTGCTTCTCTATTAAAATTTTCCACTTGATATTACAACACAGTTAACCCGCAGGTCAGAGATGACCACTGCACAAGCACTAGCACCATGAGCTCCAATTGCAGCACAGACCAGCAGCAAGTCAGCTACACAGACTAACAGAACAGATACCCATTACCAACTTTAACCACACAATACTGTGTAAACCGAGGAGATAGTGGCATAAGCACCTACTGACAAGCACAAGATCCACCAAAAAACAAAAGAGTAACTGTTTTAAAGCCATATAGTACCATGTAATTTACAAATTTTATTTTTAAAAAGCCTCATGATTTAAAACTATGATAAAGCTAAATCAGAAAATAAGGAACCAGAAAAAAAATAATAAAAATATTGAGATGACTAAACCTTTGAGTCACTATTTAATATACAATTCTTGGCAATTTCATTCAGTTGTTCAAATTATTTAGACATAGATAAAAACCACAGGTAAAAAATTGAAATGGGTCCAACAGCAAAGAACCATAAAACTAACAAAAAACTGCAATGCTAAGATTTTGCCTTCACCAATAGCAGAATAAATAATATAATCCCCTGCTAAGAGCAACCAGGACTGGACAGCATATTCAAAAAGACCTGTTTAGCTAACAAAGACCTTCAAAAGAGCATTGAACGAAAAAAGCTGCGTGAAATCATGAGGCCAAACTCAAGTCAGTAATCCGCTGATGCAGGCCCAGGAGTCAGGATGCTTTTCCCAGGGCGCACTGCTGCTTCCAGAAGAGGGTGAGCACAGCTGTTCTCATGAGGATGGGGAAGCAAAGGAATTCAGAGTCTGCCGAGACTGGTCTGGGGAGTGACAGGGGTGTGTGACTGTAAACACATGCGTTTCGGGGTGAGCAGGCGAGGGGCTCCCCACAGGCAGGTTCAACCTACACATACCTTGTTTTCAGAGAAAGGGAATCGTCTTGGGCGATGTATAAAGCAAGCAGTACAACAACACACTCATGTAAGGAAAACTTCCTTTTAAAAATATTTTTTTAAAAAAAAAAAAAAAAAAAAAAAAAAAAGATGGGCTGTAATGGGCTGGACACACCTGTGTGAGGGTGAGCATCACTGGCCACCTCGGAATTAACCCAGTCCTGCCAGCTTGGTCCCGTCAGCACAAGCTAGTGGCTTGCACTCACCTGCATCCTCTGCCCTGTCAGAAGCAAACACATTCAGCCTGGGATACACCTTCTCCCTGGCCTGGCACTACTTCAACACTTTTCCTATGAACTGCAGGGTAAAACAAGCTAAGTGATAGGTCAGGACTTAAAAGTTTCCCAGGCACCCTGCCCCAAACACTCTCTCTCTCTCTCTCCTCTCTCTCCTCTCTCTCTTCTCTTCTCTTCTCTGCTTCCCCTCCCCTCCCCTCTCCTCCCCTTCTCTCTCTCTCTCTCTCTCTCTCTCTCTCTCTCTCGGTTTCCCAGGCACTCTGCCCCCAAACTCTCTTCCCGTTGGATACAGAGCCAAGCCCAAAACCTCAGAACAAGTCCACCTGACTCTGATCTGGGCTAGCAACCACAAAAACTCTCCTTTGCTAACACTGAAAGTCCCCCACAGACCAGGTAGCCTGCCAAGGTTAGCTCGCCCTCAGCTGTTCTAGCCTACAAACCTCCCCCACCCCACTAAAAACCTTACCACCTTAAGAGCAGTGTTCTGCCTTGTGCACTGCTTAGTATGCTAGACAGTCAGCCTGCTTGCTATCCCCAATAAATCTGCTCACATCAGAACACCTGGTGGACTGCATGGGTCTGTATCTAACCCTAAGTACATTTCAGGAAGATGGATAAAAGCAAGAACTTTTTAAAGCTCCCCGAGACAAGACACATTATCTTTAATGAAATAACTAAAACTGTGTCAACAAACTTTTAAAATGAAATGATATAAAATAGTAATGCAAAGAGCTAGAAGTTGTTTCTAAGCTAGAATTTTTTTTTTTTTTTTTTTTGTACCAGGGTTTGAACTCAGGACCCTGTACCAGCCAGGCAGGAGCTTGAGCCACTGAGCTATCTCTCCAGCCTAAACTAGAATTTTAATTTCTCTTTCTTTTTTTTAGAATTTTAATTTCTTTTTAATCTTTTATTTATTTTTTGGTTCAGGGTCTCACGACACAACTCGGACTTGTAGTGATCCACTGTCTCAATCTCCTCAGCTCTGGGATTATAGGCATACAACACCATACCTGGTTTCAGGGCAGGCATGGCATGCGGTTACAGGAGATCAAACTGGGTCCTTATGCTTGCCAGGCAGGCATCCTAAGCTAGAATTTTATACCAAGTAAACACACAATTTAAGAATGACAAGAAAATGGAGACAGTTTGAGAAAACAATACCAGCAGACTCTCACTAGAAGAAACAGTAAGCAATAAAATTAATAAAATTAAAGTGCCGGTTAGATAACTCAGCAGACTAAGCTAAAGGACTGGGGTTTGATCCCTGGCACCACGTGCCATGCCAGCCTCACACCCAAGAATGCTGAGCCATCAACTGAGTCTGGGCCTGGTGGTGCACACCTGTAACCCCAGCACTGGGAGGCTTGAAAACAGTAGGATCACTATGAGTCTGAGCTGGGCAGTGAGACCATGCACAAAATACATAAAAATAAAAATAATTAATTAAAAAGTAAGATTAATGTCAGCTAGGAGGTCATATTGGTTGTAGGTAATAGGTGATGGTAATTACCATTATACTGACTCACAGGGTTAAAAAAAAAAAAAAAAAAGACGCAAATTATCATAGTTTTTAAGTCTAAAGTGGAATACCCTAAATATTCTGACCTTGGTAATGTCCAATAAGAGGTGTTTAAAAATTGACCAAACCCCCCCCCCCAAGTTTGACAAACATTAATAAACCAAAGAAGACACGTTAAAATTTTTGGGTAATCACTACACCAACATGAAAAAAGTATGTATAACATTTGTTTTCTTATTACAAGAAAAATTGAATAACAGAAAATAATTCAAAAGAATGTCAAAAGAAAAAGAAAGTTTAGGTGAAATAAACATCAATTTGGGTATATTCAAATTCTCATGTACCGGTAATTCTGTTAAAGAAAACTGGAAAGACAAACTGTGAGAATTGTTGAAAAACAAAATCTACCTCTATGTCCTTCAAAGAGAAGTATCTAAAATATAAAGATAGAGAAAAAGTAAAAGTAAAATAATGGGGAGGGGGGGCCGGGGAGCTGGCTCAGTGGAATAAGCACTTCCCTGGCAAGTGTACAGGCTTGAGTTCAATCCCCGGTTCCGCCAAAAAAAAAAAAAAAAAAAGAAGAAGTAAAATAATGGGAAAAATGCAGCCTGCTATCTTAAACACAAATCTGCTGTTAACTATGTTAGATTTAGGCAAAAAGTACTACAGTAGTAGAGACAGAAGGACAGGCATAGCAGGCAGGGAAAGGCCTGAATCACCTGAAAACAATGTAAATTTGCATGGCCCTAAAGCGTAGCTCTGACAGGTTTACAGACAGAGCCTCAACAGCTAACAGGCAAGTATAGCTCACCGCAGCAGATGTGACATGAAAGGAAAACTATGAGATGCGACAAAAACTCTGCTGCTTTCAGGGAAATACACAGTTAGATGCTATTTATTACTAGTAAAGCAAGGCAGAAGAGTCAGTAAGCCAGGCCTTCACCTTAAGAGGTTGGAAAAACAGCAAAGTAAATCTACACAAAGTAGAAGTTGTGATAATCCACTTGACTGTAAAATTACTTTATAAAATTTTTATGTATATTATAAATTGATGGAAAAACATTTTTTAACTTAAAAGACATGTAAAGCCAGACATGGTGGCAAATGCCTGTATTCCCAGGAGCCTGGAAGGCTGAGGCAGATTTTTAAGTTGTAGCTCTGTCTGGGTAACTTAACAGCTTAGTTAGACCCTGTCTCAAAACAACAACTAAAAAAGGGCTCAGGAGGTAGCTCAGGACAAAGACCCTGGGCTCAATCCCAGTACTGAAAAAAAAAAGACACTGTAGCAAAACAGAAGGCTGTGCATGCAGCCCAGTGGGAGAGCACCTGCCTCACACGTAAGAGGCCCCAGGTTCAATCTCAGCACTGCAAAAACAACAAAAATGAAGCCAGGAAAGTAAAACATATGTGAAGTAGCATGTGTTCACACAGGCAATCTCATCTCCTCTGATCCAACAAATATCACAGGAAACCCGAGCTCAGCTCCGGAAGGCAAAGCTACCTCAGTCGTTCCCTTGGTGGCTGTCAGTGTTGCGTCTGAAGTACTCTCCAGGGCTCCCCACTGCAGGGTAACGGATCCTCCACTCTGCTGGGACTGGGACTGCTCATTCAAACCTCCTGCGGAAGAAACAGTGCTCCACTTAGCAGCGACTGGGGGCAGCACCTTCCCACCCTGGGCGTCAACTGTCCTGGACAAAGGACATGCCTGAGAAATGATGTGAGTCACAATCTCTCCCTTGCCAACCCTCACACACGTTCACTCACAGTTTTCACATTCGGCTGACAGTGAGCACTTCCTCCCAGTGACAGAGAACCCGTCCCCTGGACCCAGCCCTTCAAAGAAACACAGTATCTGTAAGGAAAGCAGTGTGCCCGCCATACATGGACAAGGCTTCCAAGGACACTCAGCCAAAGAGACAGTGCTAGCAAAGTATCTGCTCAGTCCCTAAAAGTTGGCCAAGGAAATCTGATTTAAAGTACTCGCTTTTTTTTCTGAGATAGGTTTCTTGAGAGAATAGTTCAGGCCAGGCTTGAACTCACTGTGTAGCTCAGGTTGGCTCTAAATTCATGGCAATCCTCCTACCTCAGCCTCACAAAAAATACTTTTAATACATAGGTCATATTTGGACTAACATAACCTAAATTCTAAAACATATCTTTAAGTCCGAATAATAAATATAACATCTATTATTCATTAACTCAGAACCTTAATAGACATTTGAAATTATCTCATTAGTTTCATTTTTTACAAAAGCACTTGAGTTAGATAATGACTACACTTGTTTCTACTTTAGAATGAAAAGAAATGTAAGGGCCAGCCTGATAGCTCAGCAGACTAAAGCGCCCGCTTAGGCCAAGCGCAGCAGCCGCCGGCAGCCGGGATTCGATCCCTGGCATGCAGAGCTGGCCCGCCCTGGCCCCTGGGGCACACTGAGAGGGTGACTGAGACTGGGGGGGGGGGGGTGGCGTGCACCCGCCCGTAATCCCAGCACTTGGGAAGCTGAAAACAGGAGAGTTACTATGAGTCCCATCTACACAATGAGACCCTGTAGACTCTGTCCCAAATACAGAAAAAAAAAAAGAAAGAAATCTGTAAAGAATATGAAAATCTAAGCAGTATTGAAAAATTGCATAGTACATACATTTCACTCATAAAGAACAAGAGTGCATAATGACCAAGTTACAAGTTAAAAAAAGGGTCTCTAAAATCTTTCACTCTGGGCTGGAGAGATGGCTCAGTGGTCTAAAGCACCTACTTGAAACAAGCTTGGCAAAGCACAGGGACCGCGGTTCGATCCCCCAGCACCACATGCCAGCCAGCCCCGCCCCCTGGTGGGCTGAGCTGGCCACACACACACAATAAATAAATGTAATAAATAAAAATAAATAATTTAAAAAAAAAAAACTTATTAAAATCTTTCACTCAATACATTCACTCCATTACCTGAAGACAGATTAGAGTTAAGAGGACTCATTTCTTCTTCCAAGTTACTTCTTGACAAATCAGATTTTCTTATTAAAGCAACAGGTTCACTCGTTTCAGGTGATCTAATAAAATAACCAAATGATGGCTACAAAATAATTAAACATGAATTATTTCTTTAACTTTCAGCTGTTTTCAATATTCCACATGATTTTAGCTAATACTGCTACCAACGCTAAATGACTTCAACAAAAGTCCTTCCCACATAACCCAATAGAGATAAATCGTAAAAGGTCAAGTGCAGGGCCTGCGGCTCAATCCCTGGCTCCACATGCTGTGTCTACCTTGCCCCTGGGCTTGCTGAGCCAACCACCAAAAAGAGTGTGGTGACGCACGCCTGTAAACCCAGTGCTGGGGAGGCTGACACAGGAAGATCACTGGGAGTCTGAGCTGCACAGCGAGACCCTGTACCAAACATAAAAAACGGGCCCGGGAGATGGCTCAGTAGGATAAGCACCTGCCTGGCAAGCACAAGGGCCTGAGTTCAACCCCCACTTCTGTGGAAAAACAAACAAAAACATCTGTAAACACATAAACAAAAAAGATGTTCTTTAATGCTAGTTGTCTTTTCACTACTAAAATTAACATTGGCAAGTAAGTTACCTTTACTAAGAAATCCAAATTAAAAGAGCAAAAACAAAAATTTATTCATTCGACAATTGTTAATCAGCACCTGCTGTGAGTTGTAGTCATCAGTGAAAGGCCAATGAGAAAAAAGAAAACATTCCTATTACCTGAGACTTACAGTGTAAAGATGTCTTCTTTTGGAGACTAAATATTCTTTCACACACATGCTCAGATTGTGTGTGCCTAGAACTTGCCTGAGTTTCAGAAAGGGTCACGCTAGAGACTTTGTGAGAGCACAGGTAATTCCCGCGTGTTTCTTACGCGACTTTCAGTCTTGGTCTCAAGTACGAAGTGCTTAAGTGAACTTAATATTTTAGCTTCACTTGGCAATTTCCTCCCTTGATCCAGTAACTTGCATGCATGCAGAAATCCTGGGTAAAAGGTCTAGATTTCTAGAACCTAATGCTTTCTCTTTCAGGGAGGAAGGGGTCGTACTACACAGCTCAGGCTGGCCTTCCGCTCACGGTGCAGCCCAGGCTGGCCTTGAAACTGCAGTGACGCTTCTGCCTCAGTCTGCGGAGGCTGGAATACAGAGGTGTGCGCTGTGCCTAGCCCCAGTCCTTTAGCCATCTGTTTAAGAAGTAACTCAATTACTCTTCATTTTTTTTTTTTTTCTTGGCAGAACCAGGGATTGAACTCAGGCCCTTGTGCTTGCCAGGCAAGCCCTTCTTCTACTGGGCCATCTCCTCGGCCCCTCAATTTATCTCAAATCTTAAAAATCCCAATCCATCCAAACAGAAAAATTTGCCTCTAAGGTATTTGTTTCCATTTCTTTTTCTAAAAAAGCCATTTATTTATTTATTTATTTATTTATTTATTTATTTATTAGGCACAGGGTCTTACAACACAGCTCAGACTCAGTGATCCTCTTGCCTCAGCCTCCTCAGCACTGGGATTACAGGCAGGCACCACCACACACAGTTTTAGTGACCTACAAGGTGCACCCGGGGTTCCAGGGCCAGCACAGCATGCAGTACAGAGGATGGAACCTGGGTCCTTGCACTTGCCAAAAAGGCCCTTAGACAGCTGAGCTATCTCCCCAGCCTCCATTTCTTAATTCACTGCACAGAGAAGACAGGAACACAGCAGTTAGAAAGGTTCTGTTAATCAACTAATAACTAGCAACTCCTAATACTGCATCTACAGCTATATTCTATGAAATCTATACTTGACAAACACTCTCCAGAGACACTGACTCTCTAATCAGTAATTACCAGTAGGCCAAGTCCTGTGTATGCACATCGGCCAACTCAGCCTCCACACCCCTGTCCTCCTTTCAAAGTCTCTGCCCCTTCTTCCTCTGCACCCCTTCCCACCCAGGCAGATGGAGCTGGCAGAACTGGGCTATACCTGGAGGCTCATGGGAGCAGCACCTTCCTGCCCGGTCACTGAAGGCTCACCCAGCTCCTACAGGAAGCCCGCACATCCCACTCCCCTCATGCCCAGGTGTCTGACCCTACCAGCCCACCTGACCAACCCCTACCACAGCAGTGCCACTCTCCTCAGCACTGGGCCTCGGTGACAGAGCACCCACCTAGTATGCAAGGCCTAGGTTCTACATCCAGTACCACTAACTACATGATACAGAAACATTCCATGTTGGCACTAAATGTTTTACAAGCACCATCACATTTGAATCTTTATGATGCCCTATAACACTATGGCTAACTTCTTGGAGCTTTCAATGGGACAAACAGCCCATTGTGGCACACAACCCACAGGTTCACCAAACCTGCCTTGGTACATAGCCTTTCACTTTAGAAAGAGAACATTAAGGCAGACAAGACTTCAATTCTTCAATGTCGTATTAAAAGGCAGAGCTGGTACTAGAGTCAGGTTGAACTCACACAAAGCCTGCACTTTCCTAGAAGAACGTACTCACAATCCCAGCTACTCAGGAGGCTGAGAAAAGAGCACTTTAAGCTCAAACCCAACTGGGCCAACTTGGAGAGACCCTGTTTCAAAAGGTAATTTTAAAATAGGGCTTCAGAGGCTTTCCCGGATAGCTCAATTGTTTAAAGCTCTGTTTGGCCAAATGCAGCCACATGCATAGGACCTTGGTTTGATTCCCAGCACCAAACCTGCCCCTAAGGCAGCATGAAGTAGCCAAAAAAACAAAACAAAAAACAAACCACTCCTTCTAAAATAGGGCTTCAGGGGCCAGGGAGATGGCTCAGTAGAATAAGCACTTTACTGGTAGCGCAAGGACCTGAGTTCAATCCCCAGTTCCGAAAAAAAAAAAAAAAAAAAAATAGGGCTTCAATCTCCAGTGGTACAAAAGAACAGAAACATAAGTCTCAGCTTTCGGCTGAGTAGTTTGCAAATTCAGGGCTGGCCTGGGAAACTCAAAATAAAATAAAAAGGACTGGAGGGTACAGGCCAGTGGCAAGACTTGAATTCCTTGCCCAGCATTCAAGAGGACTTGGGGTCAGTCCCTACTACTAGAGAACAAAACCAAGGGCCTGAGCTATTAAGCACAATTCTACTCTGCTCCTTACTGCCTCTGCCTCACAGCTACTGACTACTCAGCTGTGCTGTCCTAACCCCCAACAAAAAGCTCCTGATGAGCAGGGATAGCATCACAGCGGTGAGGCTTCTCCCAAGTGCCAACAGTGCTCACTGGAAGCCCTCTCCCCAGGTCACACTGGGGCCTGGTGTTCCACGTAACAGTGCTGAGAGGCGCGGGGGCTTCCAGAGCTTTGGGGATCATGAGGGGATTTATTCTATCACGCAGGAGTGGGTCAGTTATGGAGAGGGTGTTGTCATAAAGCAACTGAGCCTCCTCCCTTTCATGCCTGGCTGTTCTACCGCAGCTCTAGCCCCCACCTGACACTGACCAAACATGGCTTCTCCATCCTGGACTTTGCCTTGGGGACTGTGAGCCAAGAAGTTCTTGGGACTCTTCTTTAAAACTTAGCCAGCCACAGGCTTTTTGTTAGACACAGGATGACCAAGAAGACATCAGTAGTTTTAATCACCTCTATCACATCTCATACTCACTCTTTTCACACTGCTATCACCACCAAGGCAACCAAGAGCTTCAGACCTGCGAGCAAAGAATTCTCCTAAGGACAGCCGAAGATAACTGGCCTCATCTTTGTCCAGATCCAACGTGCTCGGTGATTTCCTTAACAAACTGTAATTAATGGTAGCTGCCCAAGACATATCCCCCAGGGCAGCTGAAGTGCTCTGAGCATCTATGTTTTCTTCCTAGAAAGACAGAGAGCCATTACTGCTTTCTTTTCCTCCATCCAGCAAACATTGTTTCTGCTCTTCTAACATGGGAAATTTTAATTTTCACACACAAAATTAAAACCTGATAATTAGTTTTTAAAACAATGGGCAAAATATTTGGACAGTGGGGCCGGGGATATGGCTCAGTGGAATAAGCGCTTCCTGGGCAAGCGCAAGGGCCTGAGTTTAATCCCTGGTTCCTCCAAAAAAATAAAATTAAATTAAAATAAAAATAAATAAATAAATTTTAAAAAATATTTGGACAATTTTTTATGTAAATAGCTACAAAGCTACAGAATAATAATTTGTATTTGAGTACCTGGCTTTTATACTATGCACTGTCTTAACACACTACAGTACTTAACCCATTACTGTTACAAAGGACCTTTAGAAAGCACACATCTTATCTAAAAACAAATAGGGTCAGCTTGTTTTAAAGTAAAATTTAAAAACTATTGAAATACCCAAAGGAAAGAAACAGATAAAATGAGAAACATTGATTTATGTCATTTCACTTAATTTTTGAAGTTCTTGGATGAAACTAAGGGCCTCTTTCATGCTAGGCAAGCACTACACCTGAGCTACAGCACCAGCCAAGAGATACATTAGGTACAGCAGTACTGCTCAACTGATATTTTACAAAGGAAAGCCACAGTTGTAATGTGAGAAATAAGAAATCACTATAAACTAGCTGTTCAGAGGGAAACATGCATTTTGCCTATGTTGAAATTAATAAAAAAATATTCAGACTTTGGTTAAATTAAATAATTACAAACCTGCATAAATAGATGCTCTTTGTTAAATTCTTCTTCGTCTTTTGCAAACAAATCCAATACTTCAGCTAAAAAAAAAAGTTACATTATGCTGTTGCACAAAACTTAGCTATTCAGGAAAATGAAGCACAAGCTCTAACATGACCTGAAAACATGAACTGATGAGAACTACACATCTGTATTAAATATCTAAGTCTCTGGCTGTCAGACTGGCTCATAAGTACTCCACTGTGGCTGATTTTTATACTTATTTGTTAAAGGGACTTTTGTAGTTAGAAAATCCTAGTTAAGTCAGACATGATGGCACACTCCTGCAGCCCTAGCTCCTCAGGAGGGTGAGCTGGATGGATGGCTTGACCCAAGGGGTTGAAGGCCAGCCTGGACAACACAGTGACAACCCCACCCACTCCCTGCAGACTCCTGCCAAAAGAGGAAAGATTTCAATTATCTTCAGCTTTTTTTAAATAATATCGGGAAGTGCATTTTGGGCCTTTACAGTGGGCTATATCCCCAGCCCTATATTTTTTTATTTCCAAAGACAAGGGCCCACTAGGACACTGAGCTGGTAAGGTGAGGCTTGGACTTATAATCATCCTGCCGCCACCTCCCAGGGTGCTGGGATTACAGGTGTACACTATCACACCCAGTTTACTGCTGGCTTTTAAGAATGCAGCACATTTGAGTACAGGTGCTCACCCAAAAACACACATCTGGCGCCATCAGACTGAAGCCTGAACCTGCACAGCCAACCCCCCAGATCCACAAATGTTAACACAGCCAGCGTTAACACAGGTTCACACGCTTGTCTGAGCATTCTCAGTCTTACTCCACAGGCGTTGTGTGCAAACCTGTACACCGACAGAAGCCTGTGCTACGTACTCCTACTGTACACTACTTCAGTCAACACAACCAAGCAATTGCATCCTCATGCTGAAAGAGCTGAACATCTGTCATTCTATGCCTGAGTCACCTGCTGATGGGAATACGGGAGATTTCCAGCTTGGGGATAAAACAAAGAGTGCTACAATGAACAGTGTGTGTGTGTGTGTAAAATACAAAGCCTTGTTTGCCAGGTAAGCACTCATGCATGGAATCCCTGGGCCATGAATAGGATACTCATGAGGCTCAACTTGCCAAGGTAGCGCTATGTTGACTTCCGAGACAACAGTGTCGCTTTACTCTCCTGCCACACCCAGGGAACCACAGGACTTACGATTTGGAGTGATAGAGCCAAGAATCACTGTTCAGCTCAGACCTTCATAATCCTTTGACATGAAGACACTACTGAACACGTATGTTTTCAGTGCACCTTACCTTCAAAATTCTGATAGCTATTTCAACCACTGAATACCTCCACCTCAAACCGTCACCCCAAATCTATAATTCGCTCTGATCTTTCCCATCTCAGTAAATGGCAACGCCATTTTCCCAAGTAAGTCTAACTACAACCTCACTCTTACCTTCTACCCTCGCCTGAAATCTGGCCACCAAATCCTCACTGTCCTACTTTGGTCTTTTTTTTTTTAGGGAAGGGTCTACAGAGTTTTCAGGGTCTCACTACTAGATCTGAGTTATAGTGATTCCCTGTTTACAGCCTCCCAAGAGTGGGGATTACAGGTATGTGCCCCAGGGGCAGAGCCAGAACAGCATGCCCAGGAATCAAACCCCTGGCTCCTGCGCTTTAATCCGCTGAGCTATTTGGTCGGCCTGGACTTTCATTAGATACTTACTTTTAAGTTTTCATTCAAGTGATCTTCACTGTCAAAGACTCACAAAGCAAGGTAGACTCGCAAACCACGCCTCAAGTCTGATCTGGGAGCTGATCTCCCCTTGCTCCTGGGCCTGTCATCTTTCTTCCATCATTTCCACATTTCTTAGCTTTTATAATTGCTCCTTTACCAAACATTTCTTTTGCTCAGGAGAGCATATTAAGAGAAACTAACTGAAGCCTAAAGTCCTCTCTAACTTTGTAGTACCATAGGTCCTACTGAGAAGGGTGAGTGCTGGTCTGGTTCAGTGTTTTTTGTTTTGCTTTGTTTTGTTTTTAATGTATTTAGCACAGGGTCTACAGGGTCTCACTACACAGATCCGACTCGTAGTGACCCTCCTGTTTCCAGCCTCCCAAGTGCTGGGACTACAGGTGCTCACTGTCTCAGCCTGCCCAAGGGGAAGGGCTGGCACAGCACACTGGAGGGATCAAACCCCAGTCCCTAAACAGGCCAGCCTAAACAGGCAGCCTGTTTGCGCTATCTGGCCAGCCCCCTGTTAAGGAAATGAGTGAGAGTGACTGGCACTAGCCTTGGTTCCCATAAAAACTAGCAAAGTGCTTCTAGGAGACAACTGTGTCCAAGAAGGGATGAAAAGCAGCTGACCAGCACACACAGATTAATCTCAACATCAGCAGAAACAACAACATGGTACAACAAGGGGCTACCTATATACTTACACCCAGATCTGAAGTCTTCATTCATCTCATTTAGGGACACATTTAAATCGTGTTCGTTATTAAAAGATGTGTAATAGGCAAGGTCAGTGACCCACCTGCCTTCTTCATTCTGATAAACCACATTCTGTGGGAGGTTCGTTTCTAAAATATAAATTCCAAAAACATCCAATGATACGTGTAAAGACTAAAATGATAAAGTGTTCTCAACTGACTTTCTTTAGTTGACTTTAACTATCAACATTACTAAAGTCTGATCAAAACTACATAGAAAAAGGAAAATCCATGTCCCCAAAAGAAAAGCAGCTCACTGACAGCAGTGAGGCAGCCTTACTACAAGTCCACACTGAAGAGGGAGGGAAAAAAAAAAGCTACGGTATCATGGCTCCAAAGTGCAGCTTTCCTCAGGTGTCTGGATCTAGAGTGTGTGAATATGGATTAAGGTTATGTGGGAGCTAAACCAGAACTGACTGCTTTAGAATAGTTATGGGTATAGATAAAGGAAGGCCCACCTGTGTGGGCGGCACCAACCCACAGGCTGGGATAAAAGGGAAGCATGCTGCTAGCTCCCTGCCTGTCCTGCTATGGACTGTCCCTCCTGCGCAGTGCCCTTCTGCCACGCCACCCTGCCTTGCTGCCGATCTCTACAAACCATGAGCTAAAATAAACCTTTCCTCCTTTGATTTGTGGGTCTTGCCTATCTTATCCCAGCAGTGAAAGGGCAACCAAGACACTAGGACCCTGAAAGGATAGGGACAAGGCAACCCAAACTCTCACTAGGTCTCTGTCCGAGAGTGTTACTGCAGAGCAACACTTCTCCAGTACTAAAATATGTAGAAATCTTTACAGTCTATAATTCATTTAAATACTACAGCATGAAAGACTTGATGTGTTCTCTGCAGAACCCTAAGTATTTGAAATAGATAAGCAACTTAAGATCTTTCCTAAATCCTATCTGAAAAGATGAAATAGTTTCCTTACGGTCTTCACTCTGCTCCATGGACTCGGAACATTGATACGTTCTCCCTTCACAGGCTGGTGCCCAACGGTCATCAGGGGAATTAATTCTACTGTCACAAGCACGCTTCAGAGACACTGTGACCACACTTTGCTGGTCAGGCACTGCAGACGTCTTGACATTTAAGCATCCATCCTCAAACAAAGCAGTTTTGGAATCTGACACCAAATGAGGAGGTCCTGCCCCCTGCGCCACAGAATCAGCTGGGTCGGAACCACCTCTGCCAGTGTCATGAAAGTGCACAGGATGAAGTTTTTCACTAGTAACTTGGGGGCTCTGCATCACAACATCCTCTCCTGTATTTTCCTTTTTAAAAAATCAATAAAAGAGAATAAGGAAGTTTTGTTGTAACTTATTTTAACACTTATGGGGAAAATTAGGCATTTGACATAAAGCATTTATGACATGAAAGAGACCATCCAGTATTTTACTATGTTTTAGACTACATGTGAACCAATATTGCACAATTTACCAAAATCTAACTGTAAAATGGGCTCACAGCAAACACACACATCCACAGATTTAAGAGACAAGGCAGTTGCTCTTTGGCTGCTATATTATGAGATGACAGAAGGGTACATTTAACTTGTATGGTTACCAATAAAGTATCAGACTGTTTAAGCCCATCAGTGTGACTATCAGCTTCGTAAAACAGCAAACAATGAAGGCCAGGGAAGACACATCATCACATCTCTTAATAGGAGTAAAATGCCAGACAGTATTAACGCTCTTGAGGAGCCAATACCAACTTTGTCAGGCAGCAGGTTAGCCCAACGCCCAACACCATGCTCTCCAGCCCTGTCTCAAAGGCCCCTCGTGATTCTTCTCTAAAAGAACACTTGCTGGGAAGACACACAGCTCCCTGTGGCGCTGGTCTGAGACATTCAGTGCCTTCATGGTCTGGAGCACAAACACACACTCTGACCGCAGTCCTCACTACTACAAGGAGACACGCAACACACAACAGCCTGATGAGCGGCTTCTAAAGTCAAAATGCTAAGAGGAGGATGCTCCATGTAAGCGAAAGTACGTCGGCGTTGCAGTGAAAAAGACACGTTCAAACCTAAGTATCATTATTTATTGGCTGGGTGTGATCTGCCAACACTGTTATACAAAATAAAGTTTTAAGTATAAAAGTATAGGTCAAAACACAATAGCTTCACATTCCTTAACAGTGAACATCTTCACTAAGACACATCAACGACTCAATTGTGCTCCCCAAGAAGATGCAGCCAAGTCCTAATCCAAGCACTGTAAACCGTGACACTGTTCTGAAGAGGGAAAATCACAGGTGTAGTTAACACTGAAACTGAAAGGACCGCCTCGCTGCCCAGAGGAGCCACACACTTCCTCTCCACAGAGCAGAACGCAGCCTACAATCCTTGGCACACAGCCTTGCTAAGGAGAGGCCAAGTCAGTCAGAGTCAGACAGGACCACTACAGTCCAAGCCTACAAGAAATGGGGTGTCATTAGCAGAAGCAGCAAAAATAATGGCAAATATATTTGAGCACAGTAAAAGACTAGTTTCTCTTTTTATTTAATGACTGCACATTCGGCTAAAAGACTTTCTAAATGAATAATCTAAATTCAATCCACTAAATGTTTAAGGAAAACATGAGCAATTATGCATATATATTTTTTATGTATTTTCATATACATTTAATACAATTATAGAAACATTTACATATAAACACAAACACTATCAGTACTGTTACATTTTTTATGTTTTTTCAGGAATCAACAATAATTTTGTTTTTTTTTTAAATGGATACATAGAAACACAAAACTTTTTTTTTTTTTTGGAATTTTAAGGAAGGATCTACAGGGTATTCAGGGTCTCACTATTAGATCTGACTCATAGTGGTTCGCCTGTTTACAGCCTCCCAAGAGCTGGAATTACAGGCAAGCACCACCACGCCCAGTCTCAACTTCCCAGTCCCAATTGCTCTCTCAGCACGCCCTGGGGGCAGGGCCAGCACAGCAGGCCTGGGGATTGAACCCCTGGACCCTGCGCCTGCTTGCAGACACTTCAATCTGCTGAGCTATTTGGCTGGCCCACAAAACTTTTCATAGGAAATTTAAAGGAAACAAATCTAGACTTACTTCAGTATAATCTGCTCTTCCCTTTTCAACATTCCAAGTATTTGTGGAAAATGGAAACACATCCTTCTCATCTCTAGGACCTACAAAATGACCTGAAAAACAGAAAAAGTTAATGGAACAATATAACAGTTTGCATAAAGTTATAACTGCTTTTTGCCAATCCTATCATTTTATGTGAACCTAATACTTAACATTCCTAAGACAAATTTAGGACATTGTTAAGTGAAGTTTTTTTTCTTTGGATTCAGGGTCTCAGGGCTGGGGATATAGCTCAGTAGCATAAGCACCTGCCTGGCAAGCACAAGGTCCCAAGTTTGACTCCCAGTACCACCAAAACAAACACACAAAAAAAGAGCTGTTGGATACACAGTTGAGACTCATAGCGATCTTCCTGTCTAAGCCTTCTCAGTGTTGGGATTACAGGCGTGAGCCACCACACATGGTTTTTGGGGCTGACAAAGCGCTCCGGGACCTGCACAGCCTGCAGAACCAGGAGTGAACTTAGGAACCTGCACTTGCCTGGCAGGTGCTTAGACCACTGAGCTCTCTCCCCAACCCTGCAAATGAAAAAAGAAGTACCAGCTAAAGGGAATAAATACAGTGAACTGCTTCCATGCAGAAAATGAGTTCCTAATTCCCAAATGTCTTCACAGAATACAACCACTCCTAACGCTGAATCGAAGAGGTACATACTGCAGAATTTCTAATAGCAATTTGCTTAGAATCTACATTAAAATAAGGCAAACAATCTCATTGGTAAGAGCAAATGAAAGGCAAACATACAATGTATGAACAAAGGAAGCACACATGTACACTTACTGGTTCCAGACAAACAAACATGACCTTCTCCAGCCTCTCTGTGAATTACTTCAGAACTCCCTAAAGAGCATGAGCCTTGGGAAGTCAGACTGCTCTCATTTTTGGATGGAAAGCTTTCGCTGCTGTTTTCATTTGCCTGTTGAGAGAATATCTTTTACTGTTATACTAATCTTTTCAATTAAAATTAAACGTATTGGGCTGGTGAGATAGCTGAGGGGTCTAAGCACCTGCCTGGCAAGTGAAAAGACCCAGGTTTGATCCTGAGACTGCATGCCACGCCAGCTCTACCCCAGGCCCACCGAGCCAGCCACTGAAATCGGGTGTGTAATCTTAGCAGTGCAGAGGCTGACATAGGAGGATCACTACAAGTCCACGCCATGTACAAGACTCTGTACCGAACACACAAATTTAATTAATTATTTAATTAAACATATTGAAGAGGGAACAAGGGGCACAAGCAGGTCTGCTTCACTGAGGGAAGCCAGGAAATGAATTTAGAAGAGTACAAAAATCAGCACTGCAGCCTGGGGCAGCTGACTTGATTTCACCAGGCTTCAGGGAGGATGGTCGTGAGAGAAGAGGGTCCTTCCAGACAACCCCACACAGTACGGAACAGGGACTTCTGTCAGAAACGTCTGACCAACACCGCTTCACTGCAAGCACCAACAGTAGGCTGAAGGCACTGCAGGCACCATCTATATCTATCCCAAACCCACAAAAAAGAAGGGTTTCACCTGAATTCTTGCCAAATGTTTATCAAATCCTGCCAGGGGAAAACAGTAATCAGACATACCTAGATTATGGGTCATTCTACAAATCAAAGAACCTAAGCTTTATAAAATGTTTAACACCATAAAAGAATTCCAAATTAAGGGAATATAGAAACCTGACCATTATAGGCAAATATAATCTTTGAATTCTGAATCATAAAAAATAAAAATATTTTGGGCAAAACTGGAAAATTTGAATGTGGTCTGTAAGTTCATTTAAACTACTATATCTAAGCTAGGTAACAATTGTGATTATGAGAAAAAATGTTGTCTTACAGAAAAAAATGTCATAAAATGTTTGCAACTTCCTTTCAAATGATTCCAGGGAAGAAGTACTTAAAGAGGGGCAAAGAATGCCAATGTGGATGAAAGTCATAAAGTCTACTGTGCTGTCCCTTTTCATTTCCTACAGATGGGGATAAAGTAAGACGTAGGAAAATACAGATGTACAGCAAGAAAAACAATCTAAAAGCAAAGGCTAAAAATTTAATGTTAAAATACAATAAAACCAACAGTAATTTTCTAATGTCAAATTTCTAAAAATAAATATAAACATTGGAACATACCGGACTAAGAACACTTGCAGGTAACCTAAAATCTTTTTCTAGAGATTCCTGTCCTTCTAGGCCTTCATAAATCATTGCTGGAATCGCCAGCTGTTCAAAATAAGCCTCCAAATGATCATCATAGAACTCTTCATCATTAATATCATCATCTATCAATGAGGGGAAAAATTAGAAGAAGAGTTAGGCTTTAAAGTAGGAACTGCTGGCAAGCACAGTTAATCCCTGGTTCCGCCAACAACAACAACAAAAAAGTAGGAACTGGTCATGTCATGCGTGAATAGCTTCCCTCCACCCGGGTCTTTCTATCATGCCATTTCTGCCTAGAGTCAGTCAACTACTAACTGAACTCTTATGAATCCAGAGCCAAAATAAACCTCCTTTCTGAAGGTACAGGTACTGGCTATTTAGCCCCAGCAGAAAGAAGCGCACACGCACATGTTTTTTGCAACACTGTTCACAATAGGCAGAAAGTAAAACAACCTAAGTACCAGCAAAATGGATACACCAAGTATAGTCTCTCAAGACAATGGAGTAATATTCATTCACAAAAAGAAATGACAGCTGCATGTGGTGGCACACACCTAGAATGCCAGCACTCAGAAGGCTGAGGCAGGATTGCTGGGAGCTTGAGGCCAACCTGGGCTGCATGGTGAGTTCAAGTCCAGCCTGCACTACAAAGCAAAATACTGTTTCAAATAAATAAATAATGTAGTAACTGATCTATATAACTTTAAGTAAGCTAAGAAAACATAAAATAGGTCAATGAATGGAGTGATGGTTTTTGCCCCTGTCATGAAGACATGACTCAGTCAGGAACATTTAACAGGCTATGTGACCTCACTAAGAGGTCGGGGTGGAGGCAGCCCTCGCACACTTCACCTGCAGCACCACAGAACAGTGGAGGAGGACAGGCTGTGCAGAAAATGGTATCATGAGTAGTTAGCGCAAATGAAAAGGAGGACAGAGAGAAGGGAGACAGCTGCACCGCAGTGGTTTTCAGAGCTCAGCAAGGGCATGGCAGCGCCAGAAGTCTCCATCTGAGGCAGGGCTGTGAGGGGTGCTGCCTGTAGAGGTCAGTTTTGCAATCAACACTGGGAGCCTTAATGCTTCTAACACCTGACTTAGCGATTCACCCTGAAGAAGCTAGATCTGAAACAAGTTCTCCTAAACTTTTCCTTATTCACATTCCGTAACTTGATAGCACAGAAATTGAGCTGACAGTTAAGACCTGGGCCTCTGCCAGGGAGATGGCTCAGTAGAATAAGTGCCTGCCTGGCAAGTGCAAGGGCCTGAGTTCAATCCCTAGTTCCACTAAAAGTTGACAAAACCATATGCTGAATATAGAACCCATTTAAAATCTGGGGCTTGGGAGATGGCTCAGTGAAATGCTTCCCTGGCAAGCACAAGGGCCTGAGTTCTATCCCTGCTTCTGCACAAAAAAAAAAAAAAAAAAGACCTGGGCCTCAACATCACCATGCCTTCATCCCACTCAGCACATCGCCTGGCCTAAGCACCATCAACAACCCAGCACTGCTGCTTCTGGGTTTCGTGCGGGTTTGTAAAGCTGCCATACAGTCTGCCATACATAGCTAGTGGGCTCCTGGCAGCGCCGCGGCAGCAGTTGCTCCTGCTTCCACTGCAGGACTTCCGCTCACGTACCTATGCCAACCCCACTGAGTCTCTGCTCCAAGGGGTTCACAGACACCCTCTGGGCCAGAAGTACCTACCAGCCCCACATTCCCAGGCACAGCCCCTCACTACTCATGCCACATGCTCTGCCTCTCCTGCCTGTGCCTGGCCGAAGGCCATCACTCAGGCTAACCAGTCCCTTGCTCCTGGGGGACAGCACCTTCAGGCGCCTACTCTGCACCTTAAGGATGTCAAACCAGGAATGAGGATAACAGGGTTCACAGGTGGAAACACATGTTTCGAATCTTATTCACGCGTCAGAAGTGGCCCTCTTAGTGCCAACCAGCAGAAGAAAATGGGCACAGAAGGTGCACAGGGGTGACTGTGGCAGAGGAGGGACACGAAGCGCAGGGTGAGGCAGTGGCCGGGAAAGGCAGAGGTGCACCACAGTACCAGAAGAGTCTTCCAAGCTTGTCAGCGACGCGAGCTTCTCGTTTTCTAGTAAGCTAATATGGCTGTAGTCACTGTGCGGAGTCTCGTCTTCAGGGCGTTTCTGACCATCGGGTACAATAATCTAAAAGAAATGAAGGGCAGGCACATTCACTCCTCTACAGAGCGCAGTTACAGGAGGGGCAAAGACCTCTCCATCTGCACTGCACTCAGAACTTGAGTGCCACACTCCATTCAACAGAGTACCCAGGGATGCGCCAAGGACACTAGCACCCAACATGAAAACACTGTCTATTTTATGTTAAATTCGTAGTAAGTACAGAGTAAAACAATTCAGACCAGGTTGAGCATTAGATTGTAAGACATGCACTAAGTTTTTGGACGTGGGATCTCAATGCAGTCTTACGCTTGAGGACAGCACTCAGCAAGTCCCTTCACTGCCCCTCAGCCTTCTCATGACCTGAAACAAACTCCCACTTTTTCTGTTAGTGTAATTCTACTACTGACAAACAGAAGACTTTCAACTAATATTAACCAATGCATGGTGTCTAACAGGAACTGGTAACAAACAGGTAAACATTTACCTTGTACTCCTGACTGCTCATCCATGATCTTACATGAGAGTCAACAGAAGGGTCTGTTAACAAAAACAAAAACTGAGAAAATATTTTATCAGCTAAATGGCCAATAATACTTAAGGACAGGGCTGGGGAGATAACTCAGTGGTCTAAGTGCCTGCCTGGCAAGCACAAGAACCCAAGCTCAATCCCTGGTACCTCATGCCATGTTAGCCCCAGAACCTTGGACATGCCATGCTGGCCTGAAACCAGGCATAGTGGCACATGCCTGCAATCCCAGTGCTGGGGAGGCTGAGACAGGAGGGTCACTACAAGTCGGAGCTCTGACAATTATTCTCAATCAAATAAATGAATATTAAAAGAAAAAGAGCAGCAGAAGTACTTTTGATGATGGTATAGGACGCCATCATTGACCCATTAAGCTGTTAAAAATGCAAGAATGAGGGGCCAGCCAGATCTCAGCAGACTAAAGCGCCTGCTTAGGCAGGCACAGCAACTGGGATTCGATCCCCGACATGTTGTGCCAGCCCCAGGGGCACGCTGAGACAGTGACTGAAACTGGGCACAGTGATGCACATCTGTAATCCCAGCACTTGGGAGGCTGAAAACAGGAGGATCACTACAAGTTGGGTCTGTGCAGTGAGACTCTGTAGACCCTGTACTAAACACATTTAAAAAAAAAAGAAAATGCAAGAATGAGGTCTCACACATGGCACAAAGCCTATGCTTGCACTGATGAAGACTGCAAGGATTCAGGGAAGCAACGCAGAGCACCGAGAGCTTAAGACAGCAGACAGGCCAGTCCACATGGAGGGCCAGGCGCTGGGAGCAAGCCCAAGGCAGGTAACATCAGGTGACAGCCCACGGGAGCAGACAGACCAAGCACATGGAAGACTCACTGCAGCAAGCCAGTTAACTCCAGGTGACCTTCCTCCACCCCAGGGCAGCAAGCCCCCCGGCCTAGCCTGCCTCACTAGATGATAAAAAGGAGTCAGTCAGATATGTTAACAGCACTTTGGTCATGTAAGAGAATCTGTGTGTTTTGGATATCATGTCTGCATCTTGTACTATGAATAACTACTATGAAGACAACAATATGCAATGTATTCATTATTGAAACTGTCCTACTAATCAGTTTTGAAACTGTCTCATTGCTATTTGTTTCTCAATAAAATTAGAAAAATAAAAAGAATCTGTTTTTAAAATATCAGAATGCAATGATGTCTGTAATCTTAAAACAGGAAAATTACACACTAAATTATATATTATAGCTATATAAGTCAAAAATTTTCAATTTTTATTTGCAAATTATTTTCCCCATAATTTGTCCTTTTGCTTTTTCAGTGGTTCCTTCTGAAGCAAAAGTTTTCAATTTTGATAAAGTCCAATTTAACCTCTTCATTTTTACTAAAAGTTAGAGAGCTAATATAGTAGAAGTATCCACACTTTTGTATCTATTTGGCATTTTTCATTAAGAGAAACACACATATCACTTAAATCTTTTGAATTAAAACATACAAATGTCTATTCATTTCACTTGTCTCATCACTTAACATGACCACACACGGTCTTCCGAGCACTGAACTGCAGGCTGGAGTTACGCACTATCACTGCTATAGGTTAAAAGCACGTAGCTTTCAATCTCCATTTTTAAAAAATGAAAGAAAATATGAAACAGTTAAAAGGTTCAGAAGGATTTTTTTTTTTTTTTTTTTTTTTTTGGTTTGGCCCACTCAGGATGCCTTAAAGGTCTGGTAAGGCATGAGGATCTGGGGATTGAACCACAGAATTCTGAGCCTGGCTGCTTTACTTAAGCAGGCACTTAAACAACTGAGCTAAGGGGTAGGCCCCTTAAAATAGTTAAAAGGAATCAGAGAATAGATGTGTATATTCTTTCTCCACAATTTTCCCCACATTTCTGTAATCCCTCTTCCCCCAATGTACCACATCTAATTTTGACAGCAATTTTTCTTTTTTTCCTTTTTGTTCTTTTCTTTCCTGTATTTTAGGGAAGGGTCTACAGGGTATTCAGGGTCTTACTACTAGATTGGACTCATAGTGATTCTCCTGTATACAGCCTCCCGAGTGCTGGGATTACAGGCGCACGCCACCATGCCACCTTGTCATCTCAGCGCACCCCAGGGGCTGGGCAAGCATGGCAGGCCTGGGAATCGATCAAACCTCTGTGCCTGCTTGCAGGCGCTTTAATTCTCTGAGCTATTTGGCTGGCCCAACAGCAATTTTTCAAATGATTCACTTTGGAGTATTTCTGAAATACCAAACTTATTTTCTTTTAAGAAAAAATTTCTTTGAGAATTTATAATTCATGAGTTATATAAAAATAAGCTGAAGGAACAGAAATAACCCAAGAGGAACACAAACCTATCAGTGGGAGGAAAGTGGAAGATGTGGCAGAACAGGATGCTCACTGCAAACACTGCACACTGGACACCTGGCTGGCCACACGGATTCCAAAGGAAGTGACCTCAGCCGTGGTCAGCTGAACCTGCTGAGGACCAGCAAAGAGACCCTTTCCTACACAGTGCCTGAGTACAGTATTAGGTACATGCAGAGTAGCTACATGACAGCAGAAGATGAATACCAATCCACAGAAGAAAACATGAAAACACAAAATTGAAACACATGATCAGAAATGACTCTGAGTAGCTGAGGACCTGGTGCTGGCTTTGGAGCTGATGCTCTGCCTGCTGGGGCCAGAGGCAGACAGGCAGATACAGTGTCAGCAGGCTGCTCTTCTGAGCCTGGTTCTTCACCCTGAAGAGATGACAACTTCACAACAGCATGGGACAGATGTGGACTTTCGGTATTGCTCTTTTTTCTAGACAGAGGGTTTAAAGAACACATTAGTGAAAAAATACTGGTTGCCTGGGATAAGTTTGTAATATCTACTAACTAGTTATATACTTCATCATTCAAAAAGCAAAAAAATAGACACTAAGAAGAAACAGTTCTTGGTCCAGTCAGAAGCTAAGGACATTTTCCCTTCTACTCCTGCAGGCTCCCGGGTCCACAGCAGCTCACAGAGGTGAGGAGGGTGGTCAGGAAGACACCTCTAGGCACCAAAGGCAGCTCTGACACAGACTCCCACACTAGACTCCAAGCCAATCAGAACGGAGAAAATGGCAAGAGCCCTTCTGCATTGCCCAAGTCTCACTTTGTGCTTGAGGACGACACTGCAGCCCCAACAACAATGTATTTCCTGGTTTCTCTACCTCTTTACTGAGACTATGGTACATGCAAAGTCACAGGTGCACACTAAAGTGCACTTGTGGGTAAGTAAGGAACATTTTGCCCTAGGAAAAGAAAGCACACAGTATGACCAGCTGGCCGTTACAACCTATCATAACAAAGGTGGTAGAGACAGTGAAAGATGGGACATTCTAGTTTACTGAAGTCTACAGTACAGCTCTCCCTCATTTCTGCTAGTCCACAAAAACTTTTCAAAATAAGCCATGAGCTTCAAGTCAAAGTGACAAGAACAATTTCCAGGAGACCATTAAAACCGGTAGCAAGCCAATCTATAAAAATATAGCAAGCCACCTTTAAGCCAGCAGCCCCAACCTACATGTAACCCATGTTCTAGAATCCGAAAAACCAACAGCATATGCAAAAAAAAGGAAAGGTACAATCTCTCTTCCCCAGCTATGCTGGACACAACAGAGCTATTGCTACTGAACTTCCTTGGAGCTCCTTCTCTCTAGTGCAGTCACAGAAGCCTCAGCACCCTGGGAGGCCACTGCTTGGACAGCTGCCTGTCACAGTAGGCCCTGCCAAGCCTTGTCACTCTTGGCTACCTACTCCTGGAGCAGGACCTCCTCTAAAGTCACAGCTCTGTGAGCCTGACATCCTTATCCACAGCACAACACCCACTCTCCTCAACCTTCTAATCAGCATGCCCCTCCCCAACTGGACTCCGTGGCCACCTCATCCCCGCACAGCCTCTATCAAACCAGAACCCAGGCAAAATCCAGCTCTCCACCACTCCTCACCTGCACGTCTAGAGATGCACCTGTTTGAGACATCATAATCACACCAAATGCTCCCACATTAAGCAACGCAAACTCAAGGAGAGCTGGTGTCCCTTTGTCCCCTCCACTCTGAGCTTTTCTCTCCAGGCTGTGCACACTGCCCAGCAATGTTTTCCTCTCTTGGAACTAGGTAGGCCTCCCCTTTTCAGATCATTCCCGTTACAGCCTGTCCCTATGGCATGGAGCTGCAGGGGCTGCCTGCAACCTCCAAGGGGCACCTCTGACCTTCACGCTCACTCAGCAGGGGGCTGGATAGTCTCTTCTGTAAACATGTTTCTGTTTGTTTGCTTGTACTGTGGCACAAGACCAGTCCTACAGAGTGGTCTCAAATCCTGGGCTAATGGGCTCCTCCCACCTCAGCCCCTCAAGCAGCCAGGACACAGCTGTGTGCTTCCTCACCCAGCTACAGATTTCTGCTGTGGCTTCTAAAACACTCCTCCCTGCCTCCACTACTGCAGAATGCATCCACTCCTCTGGTCCTCGCAACTCAAAACGGACCTGGTGCTCTTCACCTCTAGCTCCCTTGCTGCTCTGGAGGTGTCTTCGTCCCACCCTCACCTTGTCTGTTCCCACAGCACATGGACAAGGCCCTTCGAAGCTCCCACGTCACTCCAAGTACATGCGGCTCCACTCTGGGATAGCAGTGCACTCAGCTCCAGCCTGCACGCAAACCTCCTGCTTACGTCCTGAGGCCCAACTTACCACGTCCTGGCTCGCATGAGCTCTGCCGTCAGCCTCCAGAAGCTGCCTCAGCACTGCCTACTCCCCCAGCACTTTTCCCTTACAATGTGCTCTGAAAATGGCTCTGTTTCTGAGAGGAAGTTCTTGCTATATGGATCCCAGGCTGGCCTCAAGCTCCACATATCTTGCCTCCACCTCCCAAGTGAGGAAATTACAGCTTGAGCCACCACACCCAGCTTGAAATGAGAGTATTTTAATAGCTTCTGTACAACATGTTTTGTACATTGGTTTCCTGAGCATCTGTAGGTGTCGAGCACACAGCAGGAGCTCAGGCAGAACATGCAAAAGTTGGTCTCTTCACAATCAAGGCCATTATAGCCATTCACAACACAAGGCTCAATAATGTACAGATCCCATCAACATTCAAATGCTTATTTCAACACAGTGTGTAATAACATCACCAAGGAACTACTACCTGCATTTTGGTTTTATAGACTGCCAGACATTTTTTAATGCATGTACGTATAAATTACTTTCATCTCTCAAAGATTAAAAATACCACCAGATGCTGAGTAGGAATCAGAAAAATAAGCATTCTCATATATCCACTGATACAAGTTTTCTAAAGAGTAGGGTTGATTCGTAATGGTCTTGAAAAGGAAATACTTTTTTTTTTCTTTTTTGGTGGAACTAGGGATTGAACTCAGATCCTTATGCTTGCCAGGGAAGCGCTTATTCCACTGAGCTATCTCCCTGGCCCCGAAAAAGGAAATACTTTTAACAAGAGATGCGAGAGGTGGGAGAAAGGAAAGGAAATGTAAAATAAATTCAAATGTATTGGGGGCCAGGGAGATGGTTCAGTGGAATAAGCATTTCCCTGGCAAGCGCAAGGGCCAGAGTTCAATTCCAGGTTACACACACAAAAAAA